GGACCTCTCCCCCTCTCACAGCCGCGCTTCGCACGGCGTCGGGCACTACGTGCCCTCCAAAAAATTTCCAGCACCACTCCCCTAAAAATTCCTGGGGAGACCCCTGCCTCAGCAAATGCCATAGATGCAGAGCGGCTTGTAGTTCCAACACCCGGAGGAACCATGGGGACCCAAGGAGGCGTCTCTCAACAGCAGAATGGTCCTCCATCGGCAGGGCCACCGCCACAGAACAGACAAACGTATGCAGCAGCTGTCACAGCAAACCTGAAGACACCCCAGATAACGACACCAAAGAGAAGACCCAGTTTTCCGTTGGTAGATAAGACATCCCCCAAGAAAGAAATGAGATGCTTAACAGAAGGTTGCCCCAACACACCCATTCCAAGACTCGGAAGGCTCTGCAAGGAATGTCATGCCCAAAAAAGAAAACAGTCCAGAAACAGGAATCCTTCATCAGCACCAGGAGGCAGAAAAAATCAGAGGCCACCTTCAGCTGCAGGAGAAAGATCTGTCTCTGCTCCTGCAAAAAGTCCATCAATGACTCGTAAAATGCCTCCGGTGGGAGTCAATGGATCAATCAACCCGGCAAATCAGCAGGGTCCAGGTACACCACGGTCAGCAAAGCCTGCCAATGCCTCACCACTGAGGTTAGATGTGCCTTCTTGCTACAGCAATGCTGGGAACAATGTGTCTCCTAATACCATGTAGGAAAAGACAGTAGTAGCAAATGACATTGTTCCACAGTCTCAGAGACGAACGGCAGCTACTACAACCAAAGTTCCTACAGGTGATCGTGTTGCCAACTCTTCATGTTGCAGAAGAGATGGTTGTGATGGACTTGTTCTAGAGAACACAGGAGGAATGTGTTACCAGTGTTGGACTGAACAAGCAGTGAACAGCAGAACACATGAACTGCTGACAAGTGGTGAAACCTCACAACCTGCAGCTGGCACCAAATGCGCTCATCCTTTTTGCCCAAACATTGTAGGAAATAAATCAGTATGTGACAACTGCATTAGTATTGTTCAAAGTGCCCAGGAAAGACTTAGCACAGGACCATCGAGAGCAGTCTCTAAAAGGGACAGCTATGCTGATGTTCTTAGAGCAGCAGCAAAACCACAAGGTACATGTAGTTTTCTGTCAATGAAGTCAGTCATACTTTCCAGCATATATGACTACTTTGTAGCCTGAAACAATTTACCTATAGTAGTTCCTTTCTCCTTCTTACTCCCGTTCTTCCTAGTGCACACAGAAAAAGGTTTTCCTGCTTGATTGAAAGTCCACTGTCAAACAGAAAACAGTTGCATTGAATTTAAAAGTCACACTCCTGAACTTAATATCTTTTCCCACTTCTTACAGCCACAGTAAGCAGTGCATCACCCACCACTCCTGCACGGCAAACACAGCCTGCCACACAGCCTCCTCAGCAAGGCAACACTCCTCCTACCCAGCCAGCTGGAAGACTTGCATGTGTATACAGGGGCTGCAACAAGGATGGGGAAGAGCAGTATGGAGAGTTGTGTTTGCAGCATTACCAAAAGTGTTACAAGAACAGCAGGTCCAACAGTGTGCAGTCCAATGAGTGTTCTGATGGTCCAGGTGAAACTCTTTCACCCCAGGCAAACTCTGGTCCATCTACCTCTACACCAAATGGGTTGCCTTCTTTTAATTTCAATGCCCCGGTTTCAATTACAAACAACATTTATGTAGATCAACCAGGTAACCCTGTAGCCACAATGATACAACAGCTTACTGCAGCCCTCCCAAGTGCCAGTAGTTCAGGTAATCAAACTCCATCTGCCAGTGGTAGCAGGTGTGCAAGCCAAGCTTCTAACCAACCCCAGAGCACACAAAGTTCTCCAAATGGAGAAAGACCATCAGCTCCAGGAGCCTCCCCTCCACAGGAGAGCCAGGCCTGCTTCTGTGGTGGGGCAGGGATTCCAGCCTACAGGAACCTCTGTACCACCTGCTATAACAATATACCCAAACTGAATACCGGTAGCACATAGGATAGCAAGAAAAATGTTAAAAGAGTGGAATGAACTTGGACCTGGACTCCCCATCTTGATCATTTTAGAAAAGAACCCCAGTGTTCTCAGAGTTCATGTAGATTGGCAGTTGGGTATTAAAGCCAATTTGGATCAAGTTTGTATGATCAGTTCTGTTAGACACTTTTTTTAAAATCAAGATTGTTAGAAAATATAAATGATCCTATGAAGATCATATGTGTCTATACTTCTGTTAGACACATATGTAATTAAAGGGCTATGAGGTTTTTTAGTCAATTTTCCAAGATTGTTGAACAATATAAACAATGATCCTATGAAGAGTGTTTGTGTTAGGATTTCCCATTTGTTAAAGGATTTAAAATTGTATTTTGACATTGATGTGTTGTATGGTAACATTTTTATCTATTCACCAAAGAAGCAACACAGTAATGCATTATACTTTTATAGCGGATAGACATTGAGAATATTGAGAATTGTAACTTGCCCTTTCTTCACCTCTGCTTTTAGATGTTGGTAGTAGTGATAGAAGAAAGTGCCTGTGTCTGCAATGTAGTTGTGATGAATGATTGGTCATTTAGCAAAAGTTTATACTGTTAAAAATTAACATTGTACATACTTGTCCTCCCTGCTGCCATGAGTCACAATTTGGTGCCAAATGGTCACCTAATCAGGGAGACAATAACATTCCTTCCAGAAGAGTAGTTAAAATAGGGTCCAGTTGATAAAGGGGCAAGAGGAATCTAATTCTTGCTACCCACCTGATATTTTTGATAAAATAGTTTTAAGGTATATGTAATGAAATGCTTTTATGAATGTTATAAATATTACGGGTATTGTTACATGGAAACCTAATGGTGACATGTAAATTTGTGGCCAAGCCACTGTGTGATGTTTAATGCAGTTGGAACAGGTGAAATTTTAAACTTTGTTCCAAGATGCTGTGTCTCAGAAGTATGAATTTTATCATGCCCAGTAAGTTACAAAACTGTTCAGAAATTAAGCTAAGCTATAATTAGCCCGTATTTTATTCTAGTTATGATAGAAAGCTGAGCTTGTGTTGACCACAATGCTACGAAGTGTATGAAGATTTAGGCCATGGCAACAAATATTTGTGTAGTAGTTTATGGTGATTGGTGTTAGTTTTTTTCCATTGCTTAAAATGCAATTATCAATGCAAATGACACATCTTTCCTATTACAAATGGCTGCTAACCAAAACTCTATGCTAGCCTCATATCAGAATGGTATAATATCCAGCCATTTTAAGAAATTTGCTTCCGTATATTGGGACGGATCTTGTGGAATGCAAAGACTGCCTTTTTTGTGTACATAGGAAAGATGTGCTTCACAGAAAAGTGCTCTGTGGTGTTGCAATATCCAGGTTGTACAGGGTATAAATGATATCATATGTACAGTACAATCTGTATTGTTACCGACATACTTCCTGTTGCTATGTCTGTCATAGTGCAGTTTTGTTGATGGGCTGTAGGCTGTCAAAAAAATCATTCAAGACCAAATGGATCATTTGCTTTGAATAGGTTAAGTGAAATTACCAGTAGAGAAAGTTGTAAGCTTGATGACACCACAGTGATTATATTAAGTGTACAATGTATTAATATTATGTCTACAACAGCCACATGTGAACACTACATTATGTACTTCTCTATGCAGTTCTAAAGTAAAAGCATTTGATGAAGTTGAATGGGGACGATACAATGTGGGATAAGAAATTGATATCCAGTATCAATTTCTTTATTGATTGATCGAAATATATATTTATTGATAAAATATAAGTTGTGTGAATGAAGCAGCCAAGCTGAAGAGCACAATGTTTCAAACAAAAGTACTGGAAGTAAAGAAAAGTGAACATGACTGAATGTCTTTGTTAGTTTCTTTATTGTCAGTGGTCCTGGACCTACCACATAAACGTAATACTATGTAATCCATTGTACTTACTGGAAGGTATACAAGTACAGTGTAAGGAAAGGAAATGCAAGTTGTGCTTGTTCTTGAAAGAAACAGCATGTCATGATATACATGTATATACATTTTATTGCAAAAACTGTAGTTTTCATTTTACAACCTAGCCATTATGTGAAAAATTTGACAAACTGAATCAGTTTTCATAGATAAGTTTGGATCTGTGAGAAACGAGTATTATATGACATGTTCTTAAGGAAAGCTAAGGAAAAGTTAATACTGCATAAACAGATCCTACAGCCCCACCCACCTGTCAAAATGTAGAAATGCATAAAAATACAAATACAGTCACTCTCTCTTTGGTTGAACTAATGGCTTCAGGTATATGATCAGTAGCTTTATCAGTAGAGCTAAAGGTAACGGTAGTCCCTGACCCATAGCTTTAGATGCCATAGGTTGTTAAACCACTGTGTGTGTCTAGGGCACAGTATTTTACCCCCCCAAACCAAAGTCAGGCACCCATTTTACACGTGGGTGGAGTGAGGAAAGTCATGTAAAGTGCCTTTCTCCACTGCACAATGTCTAGCCAGGGATCAAACCTGTGACCTCTTGATATCATATTCACCAGCCTAGCCACTAGGCCATTCAACAGTGATCATGATCAGTCTGTTGAAGTATAAAACCAGCTCACCCAAATCAAGCAACCTTGTTGCCTAAGTAGGGAAAAACTGGCATTTTCCTTTTGCTTACATATACAATACAAAGGTTTGATCAACAAGCAGTCACTGTCTCATTGGTTGATCTGCTATATGATTAGTAAGTACAAACTGTATGAAACTAGCCCACCCAACTGAAGCATCATAATGATTGTAGTTTATACACTTTGATGGGGAAAAACTGTGGTGTTTTTATTTTGTCCTGTCCCATCTCCACAGTGTCCCGTCGTCACACACACTGATGAGCAGGTTGCCGTCCCGGGTCATGCTGGTCTGCCGGATCGCTGACGTGCACTTCGGGTGGGTCAACGTGCTCAACCTGGAGAGGTTCATAGGTCACAGGTCATCACACGACAACAAATTACACCCCTTCTGAAATACCAGCAAAATAATTGATATATATATACAAGCACTGCCCATCTTTGAAAAAATACGATGGGTATCTCATCTTATAAGCCCACAAGTACTGAAATGTTATTTTTGCAGGAACTTAATTCCACAGTAGAAGGGAAAATGAAGTTTTTGCTATGTTTAAAGTTCACTTGAATCAAATCTGTGGTACAGAAATTATACACTGTAAATGCAAAATCATGAATTCATGGTAGAAAGGTCACCATGAAAATTACAAAAAAAAGACATATTTTTCAAAGATTTCCAGTGTTCATCTCTGAGGCTGTGAATGCTGTAAAGTCTGTAACTCACCTGGCCTTGACTGGATCCTCCACTCCCAGATCCCACACAAACAGCCTTCCCACCTGGTTACCCAGGGCAAGCACCTGGACAGAACAAAGAACAGAACAGAACAAATTTATATTAACAAGTGATCCCAAATGCATTGTTGCCTAGTACAATGCAGTCCTGCACATCTAAGCTATACATTCCTGGAGGATGCTATGCTAGAGATCTCTAAATACACTATTTTTCATAGTGTAACAATTATATAACAAGGCATATAAATGGTAACGGAGGTTATACTACAGATACTTCATCAGAACCCACCTTCTGCCAGTAGTCTATGCTGAAGCGCATGTACCAGATGTCACACTGGTGGTACTGGAACTTGTGCAGGACCGTTACATTAGTGATGGAGGGGGTGATGTCCTCCAGGCGGTTAAAGATGGTGCCCGGCTTCCAGCACACGATGCAGTTCTCACACGACTAGAGCAATGGCACAGCGGTTTGGATCAAAATGTAGCAAGAGATCAAGATGACATGGCTCATGAAGACCACTGAGGGAACTGACAAAATATGGTCTGTCTGGACATGTGGCCCACTATCCAACATTCTCTATCTTTGGTCAGCAACTGAGAATGAAAGATGCTATCTGAAGAGTCTGAATCTTCAAGGAATTTATCCATTTGTTTGATTTACTTTGTATTACATAATTTTCTACCTAAATCTACCAGTAAGAGGGGTCCTAGTCCCCACTAGGCTTTGCATTGGCATTAGGAAGGGCATCCAGCCGTAAAAATATCTTGCTTCAAAAAGACTTGCACTTAATGCAAGCATGTCTAACTCCCAGTTTCGGGGGAAAAGATGTTAAACTGTATAGAGAGAGATCTAGAGAAATTATCTTCTTACCTTGGACAGAACCAGGTCGCCGAGCCATCTGACACAGTCCACATAGTTCCGGTGGATGTCTCGAGTGGAGAACTCTGGGTAGTGGATTTTTATGGTCTTGAATGGCCTGAAGAAAATAATAAAAAATGATATGTTAAGTGTTTTCTATTGTATCTTACTTGTACACATATACACATATTCCAATACACACACACAGATAAACGCACACACAAACACACCCACCCACACACAGATGATACACACACAAATACACACACAGATGATACAAATACACATGCGAACACATTCACAACACACACACATACACACACACACAAACACTGACACATCCCAGATCACCCTCCTCCATCCCACCTGTCGTTTTTTGAGGCGTTGTACATGTAAGAGTTCTGGATGGCTTTGTGGATTTCTTCTTTGTTCAGGTTCCAGATCTTCAAGGAATGGTCCATTCCACAAGACACAATCCGTGTTCCTTCTGCATTAAAATCCTGCAGGAAACAGAAATATCTTTACCCCACATAAGCCAATGCCTAGATTTGAACACTGACCCTGTGATCCAGTAAGGGGTCTGTAAAACGCTAGACCACTGCAAACTGTTGTGGTGAAGATTCAACAGTAAACAGACTTACAGCACTGAGGACCTCGTCTCTGTGGCCTTCCACACCTCCGAATATGGCAACAAGGGTGTCTGTCTGGATGTTCCATAACCTCAGGGAATGGTCTGTGAGAAAAGGGAAAACCACATCAACTTTACAATAAGGCCATGTTGATTTGATTATATGGATGACATCCTCTGGGAACCCCAAAACTGATGCGCGCGTGCGAATAAAAAAAAAGTTTTGCAAAAAAAAAAAAAAGTTGCTTTCACTATGAAATCTACGTGGTCATGAAGGTTGAACAAATGGCACAGAATATGTTATGGCGAATAATCTACTCTTCGAATTCATTTCTTTACATTTTTGTCTTTTTTCCTTTGATTTTGGCATTCTACGACATTGGTATCGTTTCTAAATGTTTTCCTTGCAACTTATGGTATATTTTTGCTCATTTAGCAACTGTTTTGCACGATTTACAGTATGGTTGAAAACTTTTTTTTTTTTGGAAACGGCCGAAAATTCATGCGCGCGCGGATGTCATCCATATAATCAAATCAACATGGCCTAACCAAAGTTCCATGCCTCAGCTCACAGAATGGTCTTTGGACATGGGAGAAAACCATCACTTGATAGCATCCTATGATAATCATTCCATTTTGCATCATATTTATAAGCAGACATGAACCTTCACTCACTCCTCCAAGCTTACTTGGAGCCTTTCCATGTCTTTGCCTCTCTATTTGTTTCTGTCCTCCATTTACACGTAGACTAAAAAGTGCCAAACTAACCTTTGCTAACAGACAGCATGAGGCTTGGTTTTGACGGATGAAACTTCAGCTCATTTACAGAGTGGCCATGCCCAGTGTAGTGCTGAAACCATAAACAGCATCACAACATTAGCATCATGTCTTCTTCCAGTCTAATAGAAATCCTGTTGTTCACAATTCACCTTTGACCTCCATCCACTTGTGTCACTGAAATAGCCAACCTGATTGGTTGTGGATGGGCCAATCACGTGGCATCCTTTAACAACCACAGTGTAGTTAGCGAGTGATTGGTTATTAACGGTCAAATCAGAAAGGGGTATCTGCTTATAAATGCAAAGTAAAGATGTTAAAAAATCAGAACATATTCAATCAGACATCCTACGGCTAAATGTCCTAAGTATTTTCTCTGCATTTCATCACAATTGTTGTCCAATTCTTCCATAAAGTGGAGAGGAATTTCGACTTTTTGACCTTTTTTTCCAGCCATGTCTCTCTACTAATATCCTGCCTAGTCTCATACCTTGCCTGCACTAGGCTACACCAATACAGCAACATGTTTCTTGGATTCTTTACTAACAAATTTTCTCATCTTTGGAAAGCACTTTGCAAGTTGTCCAACACAATGTGCGTCTTTTCTTCAGTAATTACGTAATTTTCTATAGATTTGATAAAAATAGGAACTGGGCTTCCAAATTCAAGTTTAGCTGCTGTTTTTTTTCACCAGATGAATGAAATTTTCATGAGGTTACTCCAAGAAACAGGGTGCTGAGTTGGCGAGGCCGTACCTTGACATGCTGAAGGCAGTAGGTATAGGTCAGGAACTCCAACAGGCAGGGAACAGAAAGAGAAAGAGGCACATCAGAAAGTTGTCTAACTAGTGTCCAATCACACCACCAGCAGCTGGCCTCTGCTCAGGAGTACTTTCGTGCCATTGTGATCTAACTAAATGTACTACCTATCAGCCTATGTTTTGTACTGTCATGCAGGACTTACAGTGTAAGTGTCACCGTAAGTATTCAATGTAATGTTATCTTCCAATACTGCATGCCTGTGAAGCTGGTGTTTTGTATCAAAGAACAGCTTTATCATTTTACTGCCACACCTTACTTGACACTCATAACCATCTCATTTCACACAAACTTTGTGAAGTTTTGGAACACTACTTAGATCAGAACTCCAGTAATATTATTTTCTTAAGATCGACCATCTTGGCGACATCTTGGAACACCAAGACATACAGCAGGTAACAACAAGATGCAATGGTAACATCTTTATCGGACCAAAGCCAGATATGTCCACTTTCAAGCCAGCTGCTCCAATTTCTTCTCAACCTATAATCCTGTTAACATCAAACAAGGGAGAAACAGTCTTTGGCAGAAAATAATGTGCCAAATTCAGTACATGTAGTACCAACGAATCATGAAACACTGTAGATACAGTGTGATCTACCTTCATAATTACGTGTGATCTATGTCATCCATTAAATAGTTGTGATCTATAATAGATTGTGATCTGCCTTGATGATTATTTGTGATCTACTTAGATTATTATATAAGATCTACCTTGATTTTTTGTGATCTACATCCATGATTGTGATCTACATCCATGATTACTTGTGATCCACCTCTATGATTACTTGTGATCTACCTTGATGCACTGCATGCTGACAGGGCTGATGATCCGGATCACACCCCTGAGCCCAGCCACGGCGATCATCGGCTGCCGTGTCACCTCGTCGTACGTCCACGCACACGTGTAGAAATTCTCCTCCATCTGAGGCAACGTTAAGGTCTCTACTGGTGCGACCACTCAAGTCTGAGGGACAGGGACCCTGTCCCTCGAATTTACACAGGGTCAGGGTCTGTTAAACTACGTGTTACTAACCAACGTGTCAGTCTAAACTCTTCAACGGTTTAGCCAGGTCCTTGCTTTAGCACTGTACCAAATGAGGAAACTTTGTGGATACAAAATCAGTGACTGTCTGCCTATCAATGTCAATAATGTCCTGCATGCACATACATGTATACAGTATGCTTCTTCCACCTAGACCCAGAAACGTGTATTCTGGCCTCTACTATCTTAACCTACCTGTAACTTGTCTAATGTGTCTACTCTAATTTCTTAAAAATGCTGCAAAAATGAGTTCTGAGTGTTGAAGGATACGTTGGCATCACAGTAGGACTGCAGCAGTTTGATCTTCCCCTCCTTATGGCACTCGTAGATGGTCACCTGAGGTCAACAAAGTCAACAAGTCATTACCACGGTCCTTCAGCTAGATTCAGACTTTGCAACCTTAAACATATTCAAATAGCCATAACTGAACACCGTCCGATCAAGCTACCAATGGACACCGACCCTGTTGCTGCCCACTGTAGCGAATATGATGGCCTGACTCTCCTTGTAGTAGAAGGGACAGATCTGAACACCGAACAGGGGCTGCCCATGGTCCTCCTGGGGTGGGGGGAAAACAAACATGTCAGTGTGCCGTTAGGCACAGACCTGGCACATTTTACACTAAGTCTTGTAAGTGATTTCTATACCAGTTTATACCAGTCATACCGGCTGTACAGATACAGAAGTGGTGTGTTATGCCAAAGGGCAGTTATACCAATACAGATACAGATACCTTGACATAGTTAGTACACTTGTAGGCCAGCTTGGCTTTCTTGGCCTTCCTGTTCTTGCCCCTGCCCTTCCTGAAGACGTTGGTGGGCGTGTCAGAGCGGGAGATGTTGTCATCCACTGTCGGGGTGCTGGTGGTGCTGCACGACTCCTCCCAGTCCTGAACAGGGGAAGGTGACATGTGGTTAGGGTTGACGAGTTGAACCATAAGGTTCTGGGTTCAAATCCCTACTAGTAGCAGGCTACAGTGTTGTAATGTTTACCTTGGGAAATGAACTTCATAACTATTGTCATCAGTCGACTCAGGTGAGAATGAGTACCTAGCTTCGGTTAGGGACGTCCTTTCGGTTAGGACATGAAGTGGAAGTCCTGTGCTTTAGGACAGCCACACCACATCTTGAAAATCCAACCAAACTTATAATTGAAAGGAATTACTAGACTACAGTAAGTATAGGCTATAGCAGTCTGTCTGGTGCATGTAACGTTATAGTCTGGTCTTATATCATCCAGCTTCAACAAGTTTATGAAAATTATATGTATTTTCGTTATAAAAAGGAACTTGGGAGAGTTTTCTGCCTTCCACAGTGTCACTGTACGTAGCTTCAAGCCCCATGTTCTCGCCACACTTTCGTTTGTAAAACAAAAACAACTTGAATTTTCTTGTAACAAAGCGTGGCTTGTGCCCCCCTCCCCCATACTCGAAGAAATCGGTGTGGTTTATCACTATCAGACAAAACGCATGGCAAGGGTTGGCACCCTCAAAGTTACCACAAACTTACGCTGTCATTCTTCACACTTTCGTCCTCCAGAACGTCGCTCTTGCCCTCGCTGTGCTCCGAGAGTTTCGGCTTTTTCGTGGCGGGAGATTCCGCGTCCTCCATGATGTATGCCGCAAAATGGACCCATCGTCAACACACACACGTGTGTCGTAAAATTTGACTGAAAATTTTTCCGCGTTTTTGCGCGTTTGGCAAATACAGGTAAATATATGTATCATATTAAAGTAATGAAAACCAATCACGGAAAGACAATGCTATTATGGAAAAAGTCATAAAAATAAGAGAAAATATTTTCTCATTATTTGCAATAATGGCATACTCATAATATCAAATGTGAAAATAATGGCTGAGTTATATGTCAATTGAAAAGTAATAGCAGCATTTTCCATCCATATTTTTGTGGTTGATATGTTAAAATTCTTCCGGTATAGCATGGAGGTAGTTTTTCTACCTCCATGGGTATAGTTTTATTACAAACCGTATGAAACGTCAGTAAACACCCCTGTAAGTTCAATCGTTCCCTCCAAAGGTCAATCGAGGTCAAAAACTTTCGAAGGCTGATGACAAGGAGCAAGGTACAGACTTTCAACTTTCATCTCTTACACTGTGACCTTGGACTCTTAAGTCAGTGCCATGTTTAGTTATGCTCTTTAGGTGGACCTTGAATGTGTGTCTTTGTAGATTCTCCGTTATAATTTTCCTATTTAATACTTAGTGCAAAATGAAGTAATACATTTTGAAGTGTATAAATGCTTTAACTTCGTACTTGGCTTTCTGCTATGTACTTAAAATTAGGAAGGATTCCTTTACTTCTTGTGAAAGTGCCAAAACCAAAGAAACTTTCCCAGAGCTTGGAATTAAATTTCCCGCCCTTTTTGCTATAAACTCCCACAGGTCAGACTCACCTGTCTAACTACACCTGGTTGCCGGGGCGACGGGCCCAACCCACCCCTTTGTCGTGTCGTCTGCTTCGCGTGCGAGCTGAGAGAGGACTCGGAACTACAACCATTGATCCGCTGATCAGACATTTGTTCATACCCCTCCCCTGAGAACACTTCATACCACATAAGAGCTGTGTACGCTGTTGTTAAGGGGGCAGCTACTTGAAGAGCTGCCCAGCCATGGATTTTTCTGAGGTAATTTTATCTCCTTTCACCATATTGTGGTACAGTCGTATATTGCACAGGCAGTGCCTTTCTTTGAATTTGTTTTCTGTGTGGCGTGAAAAAGGTTTGTACTGTTTATTTTTGTTTCGCTGCGAAGATTTCACGCTGTGTGGATGTTTATGAAAGCTGTTGTTTGGTTTTACGTTATTTTGCAAGGCAAATGTTGAAACAGTGACAAGCAGACAAACAGAACGTGCCAGCCAGTATTGTTCACATCCTGTAGTTTGTGATATACGATACTTAAGGTAAGGAAAGTGTCTTAAGGTTTGAGATTTGTTAATCATGACAGGTAAGGGTGACCTACACAAGGTCAACTCACCTGTGTGACCTTTAATAATTACCTGCATGCTAGAAGCACAAGACTTAATACTCTAAATGAGAATGTTATTTAAGGTCGTACACTATGAACAATATATATAAACTGTACGTTAAAGTAACTGACAGTATATCAGTTTAAGTGAAGACATTGTTGTTGTGTGTCCGATTCATAAATGTCACTAGTGTCACTGGCAATATATTGACCTGTAAGAAATGCAGTGCTTTCTCTATGTTTGCTGTAACATTAGCTATAATGCTAGAACAAATAACTGTAGATTGTTTCTGTTGATAAATCACTGCAGAGTAGAACAGCCTAAAAAAATGCTGAAAATCTAATCTGCCCATTTTACAAACGTTGTCGTAAATTAGAAAAGAAATTTAAGAAGAAAACAACGTCTTGCTGTTACATATGTATGGTTTTGTGAACAGATACCTGTAAACCATTAATTCTTGCTTATATGGATTCCCACATACTTTTCCCGAGTTCATTATTTCCCACTCAACTCTGTAACACGTATACGTTAATCCGCCATGTCCACACAACGCTAACTAAGCACACGTTCCCGTCCGATTATTGACACACCTGTGGGGCAATGTCAACACAGGCAGGCAGCACCCAGGTGAGGTTTATCTTATACAGAATGGTGAAAAAGGATGCCCTTTATTCGGGGGCAAAAGCATAAAGAGCTCGTTCCCTTTCTGTGGGATGGTTGAAAGAAGCAGGCGACAGCCATTACAAGTTGATGGTGGGAAGGGACACATTTGTTGTTGGTTCTCAGGGCTGGAAATACTTGGTGGTTTATGCACTTTTGTGCAAGTAAAAATTGGAGATGTGCAACTAATTTTGACTGCAGGTACCCCTTATTTGTGTGATGTAGATGTATGCAAGAAAGCAGCAAAACACTAATTAAGTATTGCGGCCTATTCTTGACATGTAATGACAAAAAAAAATAAACAGTTAAACCTCTGATGTAAAGTATTACATTTGTACTTGCTAAAAATTTTTAAGCTTTAGAATTTCAGATTCAAGCTCTGAAGAGTTACCGGTATTACAGTCTATTTCATGATATGTCCGTGTGTACCCCAAATTTTTCCTGCACACTTTATTTTTTTTTTGCTCGGTGCCCAAGCATGAATTTCCAGCCCTGGCTTTGTAGTTAAAGAATGTGTTGGCAGTCGGTCAGGTATGTAGATTACGTCAGTGTGGAGCTTACCATGAACCGTGGTAACATTTGTGTGGGAATGGACGCAGGCCTCTGCTATTGTAGCTTTTGTCAACAAGTATGTAACGTAATTATTGTGTTTTGTAACATCTAAACGCCAAGCTATTAGATGATTACGAGTGTCGGATGGTTGCAGGCTGTGCTCGGGTGCTGTGACTACAGGCATAGTTTTCCGTGGTTGTTGACATATATACAGGTACATGTATACAGGTTCCTGTGTATACAAATACTGACATTTTGTAATTATGAAGTGACAGTTCAGCCATACATGCAGGATGTACTTGTGTCACCAATGTTTTGTATAGCAATAGTTCAACAGAAATTCCTTCAAGAGCTGTTTGGAAGTGGCTTTAAGATTCTACCTGATTTAAAGAATTTTTGCTTTTTTGTAGTGTTATTCTGATAACTTGTATATAATTGTATGATCCAATGCATGTAATCATTATAATAATAATTGTAAATTTTGACCGTGTATCTTATCGATTGTATGTATACCTAAATATTTTCTCCCAAGGTTTACCTTTAACAACAATAACAGTACTGGTAGTCTATGTCTACGACTAGTTCTGTCGGGCAACACTGGCTGTTGTAAGCTGAACTAATAAATAAGGCCACACCAATTTAATTTGTTGGTTCTCGGATTTTGTCAGAAAAAACATGAAGCGACAGGGCGAAAAAAAATAAAAATAAAAACAGGTTTAGGCATCCTATTATAGCCCCAAATGCTATGATAGGAGCCATGAAGTCAACACAAAAGGTTGTGTTAATATTTAAACAATGAATTTTGAACTTTTAATCAAACCACTGCATTGATAGATGGAAACACTGCAACAGCTAGGAAGAAAAGGACTTTCCACAACTGTTGGGGGCAAAATATGAGCATTTTTGAGTTGATTCAGAACCAGAATCTTTTTTTTTTTTTTTTTTGCAAATCAGAAAAAAATGAAGAGGCGAATCCGAGAACCAACAAATTAAATTGGTGTGGCCTAAATAAAAGATAACAAACCCTTGGACTTTTTGTTTGTTTCTTGTACAGGTAAGGAAGTCTCCATGAGGCCGCAGGAGGTTATGGGAGGCGGTGCGTCTACCCAGTCTGGTCCATCCGGTCCGAACAACCGGAATCGGAACCAGACCTCGGAGCTGACGGAACAGGTGTACCAGCTGATCAGCCGGTGTCTGTACAGTCTGCCTCTGCCACAGGGGGCAGGTAGGGAAACGTTTACTGTGTTATCTTTATATTAAATTGTATGTATTACTTTGTGTTAAGTGTTGTATAGAATATCTGGTAGACAACATTAGCTATGTCTGCTGTCCGGTGCTCCAGAGTGTTTTGTATTGTTATGAATAAAGTCAAAGGTATGGAAACTATGCACACTGCACAGTAAACTTTAGTCTGTGTAATATTACACTTTTAGTTTGCGAGCCATAAACATATTAAGTAGTCAAGGAGCATGCTCAACCTATGAATCATAAGAAAACATTGGAAAAGCTTTGTGATGATATCTTATACATGTACAAGGCAATCAATAAAGTAACAACAGACTCTGACATATTTTTGCAGAAAGTCTATTTCCACACTTTTGGTACATGTATTACCATTAGGTATTACATACAGAAACAATTGACTACTGTTTATTTTTTCTTCAGGATCACAAGCAGTAAACGATGCTCTGGTTGAGAGAGTCACAAAATACTTCACCAAAGTGGAATTTGAAGATGCTGAGATTTTAAAAAGAGGTAAGAACTTTCTAATGAGTTGGTTTTAAAGTTGAAATCTTATATCTATAAGAAGAATAACATGCAACCGATCTTGTACCCTTGGGAAAGGCACTTTGCATGAATTTTCTCACTTCACACAGGTGAAAATGAGTATGTCTGCATTGCCATTGGAGGCGGCATGAAATAAGTTGAAAAAACTTGAGTGTGTCATCACCATGTCTTGTGTTGGAATGTTGGAATAGAATAATATTCTGTAGCTCATAATGTAATGAGATGTCAACCTAATATCTAATCTCCAGGCGAGCCAGCCAAGGAGATATTTGTGGTGATAGAAGGTCTGGTTGAGGTGGTTTCAGACGAGGACAACAAGATTGTTCTGGCGAGTGTCACAGATGGAGAGTTCTTCGGGGAAGTCTCAACACTGTTCAACATGCCGACCTCAGCAACTGTCAGGTCTCCTGGCAGGTCAGTATTAAACATTAAGAGAGTAAATGGTGTGGACATGTCTGGAAAATAAGATGATGTTAGCAGCTAATTTTTTGGAAAGATATGTGGGAAGTAACATATAAACATTAAGTACTTCATGTATTGGTTTGCTGTCTTTGATGTATCTGATCAAAACACAGAATCTTAAATGACTATGAACCATAGAATGCACATCACAGTAACTCAGCTGTCATACTTTTGAGGGAAACATTGGAAATTTTCTGCCTTGAACAAATTTTAAAAATCCACTACAACTCTCAGTGCATTAAAACCTGTAAGTTCTTCATACAGCTTGAACTCTAAATTACGTATAGTCTGATAATATAAGTCTGATAGTATGAGTCAGATAGATTTTTCAGACGGGCATTGCCAATAAGAGACAGATAAGAATGTTCCTTAGATTCTCATGTGTTCCTTCCCTCCAGGACGACTCTGGCAGCCCTGAAAGCGGAGGATGCCAGGAGGCTGCTGCCGCCCACCCAGACTAACCTGCTGGACTGGTACATCCAGAGGAGGTACTTCGACACAAACGCTGCCGTCGACAAGATCAAACTCTCCAGGAAAAAGGCACTGGCAGCTCTGAAACAGGTGGGACGCCTTTATATGGTCATGATTGACAGGAGACCTTTACTGTAGCTTCCTTATATGGTCATGATTGACAGCTTGGAAACCTTTACTGTAGCTTCCTTATATGGTCATGTTTGACAGTTGCTGTTTTATCCACTTGTTTGATCTTTCCAATGCCAAGCCAACAACTTGATACATTATTGGAAAAATGAAAGTTCACTCCACTAGTACATTTTTTCATTGAATGAACAGACTGGTTTTCTTGTAGCATTTTGTCAATGTTTTTTAAACAAAGTAACATTTCCCACCTCCTGTCTTTAGGTTCCCATGTTGCAAGGCTGGAGTGATGACTCTCTAAAGTCTCTCATCATGAGTCTAGAAACAGACATCATCATCCTGTACCCGTCCCGATCTGCCATCCTCTTCAAGGACGACCCCTCGGAAGAGGTCTTCGTCCTCGTCAAGGGCAAGTAAGTTGTGTTGAGACTTAACAAATTCTGAAGCTTTTTTCAAGACACTGAATTGCATTAAGTAAGACATCTTTCTTTTCTATTACAGTCAAACCTGTCCTAGTGACCACCTCTACGTTTGGGCCACATGGCCTTACACAATTGACAGAAGAATCCTGTCTACAGTAACCACCTGTCCACATAGACCAGATTTTATTAGTCCCGTTTTTGTTTCAGTTTGACTGTTGTACTTGTGTATGACTCGGAAACTATTGGAGGATTCAATGAGCCATCAGACTCTTTTCTGTGCTTATTGCATAAGGAGGACACATATAACCAAAGCTTTAACTTTACTGTCCATTACAGGGTGGATGTACTGGATGGGAAAGCTCGGCTGGCAACTCTGCAGGCAGGGAAGTCACCCATCTGTCTGGGGGAGGAAGGTTGGATTTTTATTTGTTGACATCTTTTTAGTTAGGACACACTCACACACATACAGACATACCACACACACATGCAGACAAGTCACACACACACACTAACACACACACATGTATACACATACAACCTGTGTGTGTGTGTGTGGTTTACGTGTGTGTGTGTGTTTATGTGTGTGTGTCTGTGGTTTGTGTGTGGTGTGTTTGTGTGTGTATAGTATGCACATGTTTGTGTACGTGTGTGTGTGTGTGTGTGCATGTTTAAAGGTTTGTGTGTATCTGCAACACTGCATGTGTGTGTGTTTGACTTTGTACATGTGTGTCTGTCTTCCTTAAAATTTTATTCCATTCACCCCCCCCCCCAGGTCTGATGACCAGTGGCAGTAGGAAGATGACCGTCCGAGCACAAACGCCCAGCCAGCTCATGGTCATCAAGCGGTGGAACCTGCACCGCACCTCAAACGAGGTAAGGGAGGTAGGAGGCGGGCTGTTACCAGGGCTGTGGGCATGGAGCTATAGCCTGGGCCTGGAAAACAAATAAATTACAGTCAAACCACCTCTTCAAGCTGACCACCTAGCCATGACAATCACCTAATTTGGCCTTGAAAAAATTAAGTTTAAACCTTTGGTCCAACATCTTACAGCAACCAAACTAGATCGGCGAAAGAAATCTAAGGTCAAATCTAAGTTTGACTTACCCATTAGAAATGTACAGACTTTTTTGCATCTTGCACATTTAAGAGCCTTGGAAGTAACACTTTATCTCAAGTCGTAAGTAGACCCTGTTGATTAACAGAAACTCAACAATCTTCAAATGTTCACCACCAAATTTTATATACGACATAAATTTGTGATCTGTCTGAATTCATTCCTACATGTATGACTCTACTGTTTTGTGTGTGTTGTTTTTGTTTTCGTCTTTTCTATGTGCATGTATCACTGCTCTGGCTATAGTTTCATAACTTCACCAGCCAATTCTTACAATCTTCTGTCCACATCTAGTAATGCTACTTCTTAAGTTCTTAACACATAGACTAAGCTTTATAGCTTATATATTGTGTACACTGTGTTCTGTGTTGTTGTGTCTTCTGTTCACAAAATAATGGCTGTACACCTATTAACCAATCATCTTCTGATCAGACAGTGTCATTGACCAATCACTGAGCAGCTTGCCTCACACTTCACCTGGGTGTTGCACTACTACCATATATGGTCACGGTTTTTGATTGACCAATCAGTGACCAGCTTTCCTCACACTGCACCTGGGTGTTGCATCATATATGGTCATGGTTTGCCATATCTTTTCTGTGTCTTGTATACTCTGTGTCTTTGTGTTGTTCAAGTAAAATCTTTCTTCAATACATAACATCACACTCTAACATTCTTTACTACATGTTGCTTTATCAAGGAACCTGTCTTGTAGAATTCTGAATGTGCAGCTTACACTTCATGATATCTTTCAAGTAAAGTTAAAGTTAAAGTTAAGATATCGTAAGATCCGATACGAAGTTCGGTGAAATCCTACTAGTAGTCAGGGAATATATGAATAGTTTCTTAGTGAAATTTTAAAGAGATGATGTTTCTGGAGTGAATGTCACTCAAATTCATAGATGTATGATAGTTTGCTGATCTTAACCATATGAAACTGTATTTTGATGTACCTGTATTTAATATGTGTTGATTTTAGCCATTCCACAGATGTATGTAGTATGATCATCAAACCATGTAATTTTGTGGTAATCCTTGTATTTCTGCATTTTCTGTTTGGTTTGTCAGTTTATCGATGACGCAGGCAGAGCGTGGGAGGAGACCCAGGACCGGTGGAAGCAGCAGTTAGCCCAGCGGGATCGGAACCTGTACAACAAGTTTGGGGCGTTCTTACAGATAGAGGTCAGTTGGAGGTCAAGGTCATTAAGGTCACACAAACTAGAAAAGTTGTCCAATGTTTTACAATGTAATTACAGATTATGCAGAAATGTGAAAATCTTAACAAACTATAACTTAACTTTGTAACAAATTTTTTTCTTCTTTTCTTTTCTGCAGATTCTTATCAAGAAATTTCGTCAGGTGAGTACTAAATTTCTATTAATTAATGGTGAGAATATTGAGTGTACAAGTGATCACCTCTACATAAGGACCACCTGGCCAATGTGGTGGCTTTTTGGTGGTGTCCCATTGGCACAAGCATTAAGAATAGTGACCACCTGTTAATATAGAGCATATTTTATTTTTCCCCATAGCGGTCTACTAGGGCAGTTTTGACTGTATTTGTAGATGTAGATTCTATTACAAATGTAGAAAACAGTCCAGCTTATATATGTACTGGTAGGATTTTTGTCGAGTGCTGTCCTGTTTGCTGTCTGTTAACCTGTGATTTCCATCCTGACTGTGTTCCCAGTCGGCGCTGTTCAGTGACTGCCCGGTTGGACTGATCTACCTGGTTGCCATGGCAGCCACGGGGGAGGAACATGCCACGGGGAAGTCTGTACTTACAGAGGATGAGTACGGTAAGGAGCGAACAATAGCCTGAGTGTCAGCCTTGTTAGCTTTGGTCCGCTCCCCAAGATCCGCTACCAGCTACTGTTGGCCAGTAGCTAAGATATTGCTTAGCGGACAAAAGCTAACACTCAGGCTAGAGAACAAGTCTGTTGACTGGAAATTCTGAGCTTGTAAGGCACCATTGTGGAAGCACTTTTTTTTTAATCTGGAAGCTAAATCTGGTAACTCATCATTTGCCTCTGTCCTGTGATTTTTTTTCACTATGTTTGAGAAGTTTTCGTGTTTTATTTTTGTTCCACAGAAGCTAAGACACTGTTCCTGATCCTGAGAGGTTCTGCTCACATGATCAGTGATGATGGAGTTGTGGACTCCTTTGTGAAGGGAGATGCCTTCTGTAAGTCTCTCGAACCTTCTGGGTCTTTAAGGGCAAAAAGAATTGTGCTTGGCTCCTTTCTGATGTCTTCCAACTGGTTCAAAAGAGCCCCCTGTGCTTAAGTTGACAGTCTCCCTGCTGCCTAATCCCATAATCAATCAGTAGCCAAACCGCTACGTGTTCTAGAGGTTAAGCACAACTTCTTGCTTCTTGGTGAACTGTTAAAGGCTTATTCTTTTACTAGAAATAACACCATACAGGAGTACTCATACACAAATGTATTACTAAAAGAGATCTAAGTAAGAAAAGAAACAAACTCTATTTCTGATAAACTCTGTCTTTAACATGTAAATATTATTGTCGTGTTCCCAAAGGGAATCTGCCGTGGTATCCTCGGAAGTGCTGGGTCCGGGCTAAGGAGCAGACCATCATTGTCAAGTACTCGGAGTCTTCTGTTCGAGAGGCTCTCGGGGAGTACCCAGACGCCAAGCTGAACATTCCGCAGAGGTCTTCTCACGAGGGAACAGGGAATAATGGGAGGGCATCGAACAACGGAAGGGGGTCAAACAACGGGAGAGCGTCGCGTCCGCAGAGCAGACCACAGAACAGGCCGCGCAGTCGCCCACAGAGGGGCTCCGAGGCAGGCACATCATAGCAGCGCAGGGGACTTATCTGTTTAGACATTTTCAGGGAATGTTATTTGTCTGTCATTGTTGACACTGACCTGGGAAATTACGTCAGTATCTGGCTATGGCAGGGCTTGAAATACTAGATGTCTGTGCACTTTTGTGCACCCTAAATGCACTGGAGCTGTACACCAGTTTGAGGTAGGATAAGCTTAGGGTGTTGTCAACTGAGTCAACAGATGTCGGTATGGACTCATGTAAAGCTGTACGTACTAGTATATCAAGGGTCATATTGTTGGTAAACTAGGTAGATTGTTGCAGGGTTTTTCATTACACTGAAGCCATAGTTTGAAATATAGAAAGGTAAGGAAGCCAATGATGGGCCAGTTAGCCATTGTCAATGTTTGGTTTTTTCCTTTTTAGCAAAAAGCCATTTGAAAGAGTTCTATCAGGAAGAAGGTTATTGTGTTTTATTAAAGGAAGGTCAGTTTATTTTGGGTATTAAAATAGTGATACTACATGTATATTACTGTATGATAGTTTGTATAGTTGAAGCCATTATGTGATCCCAATTTATAGGGTTCATGATTTGGTGTTGCCAGGTTGAATTAGGTTGAAAAGATTCTTCCGTTAAGATATTTTGTGCTAGTGTTGTAAGTAAACTAAGCAGGGCTGTATGTAGAGGTACACTGACAATGTTTCAATGTGTTTTTTAGAGAAATCCTCATTTAGATGTTTAAAATCAAGTTGAGATCCATAAAATTAGTTGAGGTTGGCCTATGGTGGTTTATGTTGCAGTGTAATTATTAATGATTTCATATTTATGCAGTGTTTTATTTTCTCTCAGTGTTTTGTTGGTTAAGTTGTGTTGTCTGTGTTGGAAATTCTATGGAGCTTTTTTGTACCTTTGGGATTTATGATTTTAAGTATTTATTTTGATTCTGTGTCCTTTATTTGAATCTCAAGTGATATAAGTCATATTTAATAACTATGCAGCTAAGGTGAATAAAAGACTTGATTTCATTTGTGTATCAAAGTTACTAATATTATACCTTTCATAATGTCACTGTACTTGTTAAGTGACATACATGTACTTAGTGTTCTAAGTTTCTACATATCGATGACTTTCTAGCATTGTCACGAAAAAGAAGAGACAGAAAACACATTTTTTGTAAACTTTAAATACAACAAAAGTTACATCTTCCTAGCCATTACAGACTGCACATCGAGATCTTGTAATATGTACATTTTTTTCTCCACAAAATTAACAGCAAAGACTTTCATTTGAGGTAAATAGGACTTGGAGATTTTTTTCCATAATTTTTTTTCTTACAATTTGGTGGATAGACAATGATTTTTTTTTACTGCCCAAAAGCAGTTCAATGTTTAACTAAGACTCTAAAGTAAATAGTGGTACTACATGATCTTTTGCCTCTTAAAGTCTTTGTAGAGCTAAACCCATAAACAGGTACAGCCCAACATCCTACTTCTCTCCTCTCTTATACTGTATTGCTTTCTCTCTTTGCCTTATAGTACTGTACAATGAAATGTTCTAGATGCCATCTTGGTTTAAGTCCACTTCCTCTACTGAAGTGAATATAAACTGACAATGACCCCCAGGCTAATAACAAGAACCATTAGTATATCTATATTCTATAACAACTTTTTATATTATTTATAACATCATCTTTATGAGTGATATATAACACAATAACTGAACCAATATAGCATATAACATCTCTTTGGCTTGTCTTGCACTGATTCCCTACTAAGTTCTAAAGCAGATGTGTAATTTTTTTTTGTTTTGCATGATCTTAGTTACAACTGTGTAGATAGGATGGCAACCAGCTGCAAGATACTGGCAAAAACCATGAGCATAAGAAGTTTACAAAGTTACAACTGAACAGATACAACGAAATATCCAACCACCTGTCCTGGCATTACTACCCAGCATGATCTTAGAGAAAATGTGAGGTTAGTGTTGCTATTGTGCACACACACATGCCATCTCTCAGGGAGCTCCTTCTTGTCTGACTCTTACAAGTTACAACTGAACAGATAAAACAAAATATCCAATCACCTGGCATTACTAGAAAATGTGAGGTTAGTGTTGCTTTTGTTGGGCACACATACCAGCTTTCAGGGAATTCCTAGTCTGACTCTGAGTCCGATATTGAGGCGATTCTTGCCTTCTTCCTGCGGTGCAAGCGAGATGAGGAGGGGGACCTGTAGCCGTTCTGTGAAGGGTGGCGGTGATCCTGAGAGGAGGATGAGGACCGGTAGCCGTTCTGGGACGGGTGTCGGCGATCCTGGGACGTCCTGTGAGACCTACCTCGAGAGGACGGGGTACCTGATGAAGACCTCTCCTGTTTCACCACAGGTGTGTTGGTGTTGGCCCTGGAGACCGACTTCCTGTCGGCTGGGAGGATGTTTTCCTTGGAGTCCGGTTCTTCGTCTTCCTCCTTCACAGCCTGCTCGAAGATGGTCAGCCGCTCCGACAGTTGCAGCACCACATGTCTCAGCTATGGGTTACAACAACATCCAATCAGCACTTCTGGACTGTACCATGCCCACAGGGTTCTCACCAGGATTTTTTCACACTGTAGCAGTATTTGCGCCGCAGAAAAGTTGCCCTTCTGTACCTGACCCAGAGGGGCAACTTTTCTGCGGCGCAAATAGCCCGTTGGGCCAAAAAATTGTGAAACTCATAACCCCCTGACACACTAATCACTATTTCTTACTTATTGAGGGACAGATTTTGTGAAGTTAAGGTTTACAGTGTATCTCATAATCCAAGGACAGAAGAGACAAGTCTGACACTTACTTTAGCCATCTGCTTCTCCATCTTGACATGCGCAGAGACGATCGCTTCAAGGTCACACTGGGGGGCCGAGACACCTGCCCCAAGGTCGTAGCTACATGGCATTGTGGGATACAGTCGCAACATGTCAGATTGTGCAGCATAGTGATACATTTGTAGTTGTATATTTTTTGAGGAAGCTTTTGGCACAAAATCTTTCCTGGTCATGATCACCAGGGCAGTAAGCTGGGTAGCAGAGTTTTTCCATGATAGTTTTAGCTAGTCTCGATGATTGCAAACAAAAGGAATATAATAGACATGGTCTTACTTGGTGACTTTGTCCATGCTGATGACAAACAGGTTTCTGAGTGCGTCGAACTCCGGCAGTGTCGCCTTGTACATCTTTCCTATCTCCGACTCACACCGCGTACAGGACAGGACCAGGTAGAAACTGCAACAAAACAGTGTAACATCCACTAATATGATTCAGCCAGATCATATACAGTATTTCCCCTAGTGGACCCCCACTACCTACTTAAATGACAGAGTAGTCCATTGACCGACCAGGGGATAAGGCAGAGTTTTCCCTTTGTGCTTCAGCTGTCAGTAGCTCTGGAATTGTCATTCTGGTCCAATCCTTGAAAAACCTACTACACTTTGTTAAAATACCCTAAGGTAAGTAATGGTTATTATTAAGACGTACCATCCATAGTCTTTGTCTGCCTTGTTGTTGGTAGTGGTGAGGTCCTCTCCAACTGTCACTGACTCTGACACAGCTGGAAAAACACAAAAGGAAGTTCACAGAGTACTAGCATTAGTGTTTGGTATTGATAGACGATATAATACATGATTATGAACTTCAGCACACTTTTACAAAAATTTATTTGACACGATTTTTCATGGCAACGTTTTCTTTCTGACAGTTGATAGTTACAATTTATTCTCTATTCGAAGCTGCATGTTATTTCACCCATGCTAAAAGATACATTGTAACACTGTCTTCTACTGCCTCCTTCACCATGGACAAGAAAAAGGGGTCACCTGTCAAAAATTATTATGTTTTCTTGTGCTTGTCAAGGTTCGTACTAGTACTCTTTTGTATGGTGTTATTTCGTAGGGTCACTATCTGTATCTGTATCTGTATAACAACAACATCTTATACCTACTTTATCAGGATAAATAAACAGAAAAATAGAGACAAATTTTTCACCGGTGAAGGAGAGGCAGCTCATCTCCCAGCAGGCCCTCGGCCCCGTCAGAGGGTCGTTCAGCGCGAGAGAGTCGGCTAGGATCTCTCGGCAGCCCTGACACTGGAAAACCTGCGGCCTGTATTCAATGGACTCTTCTCCCGCTCCTCCCTCGACCGAGCAGTTGCCATTCTCCGCCATATTCTACCGATAAAACACGGGCAAAACCTTCGATAAGATGGCGAACTGTTTCGAACTCGAACGTTGGCGCCTTTGCAGTGTATGTAAATATTACGCTGTCTTTAGCGACATATATTTTATGCCTGCAAAAAGAGACCCTCAATAGTGTTGTATTATGTTTATTACCTTTATTTTCATATAAAATACAGCTTTAATAACAAGTAATTTATTTTTATATTATATCACTCTGTATTTAGCAAAGATATGTAACATTGAATATCGGGTTTGAATCTGGCAACAAAAAAGGTATCATAGCCACCTATAGCAGAAATCAAAATGGCGGCGCCCTATGGGAGAAGGCCCCAACGACCATCCAGTGGGTGCAGTACTGCAAGTGATTAATAGAGGTCGCTTTTGATCCATGTTGAAGTGACTGCAGTACTGCAGCACATTAATAGGAGTCGCTTTTGATCCATGCAGAAAACGGTCAAGATGGCGGCGCCCTGAGAGAAAAGTGCGTCCGATATCTCCTTTTCAAATTCCTACTTTGCGCGTTTGTTTCTTCCTTCCTCGGATTTTACCAACGTTGTATAATAGGTGTAGCTAATGAAGTGTCCAAAATGATAAGAAGAGGGGTGATATTACGAATTTTAACGAGACAATGGCCAAGTGAACCCTCAAGATGTCTTGGACCGCAAACTTCACATCTTCTTCAAGTTGTTGACCAAAGACCCGTGCAAGGAGGACCACCGAAGTGTCATCTTAGTACGCTACGGGTTACTACAAGGATAGATAGATTTTCCCCCATGCTGAATCTATCACGGACTTACGCTTCAAAGAAAGGTAACAAGGATGAGTAGGTTGTCATGGAGGGGGAGGGGGGCATGGTCAACTACTGATAGTTGACCCACATCATCGGACTGTGATACAACTTTAAAATCAAAATGCGAATTGTGTCAGATCATCCCAGGGTAAAAAAAAAGTCCGCAGAAAGGTTAACATTCCCCTTCCAATGCACAGCCAGTCAACCCCTTTAGTAGCCAAGCCTCCCTGGTAAAATTATTATCCCTATTAATAATATTAGCAAGGAGGTTCAACCTCCTTGGTATTAGCGAACACAGTCAGTCTGTTATAGAGTCCTTCAACAGTAATGACAGTCGATTTTTGACAGGTAAAAAAGGAGCCCAGAGACCAGCTGAGCCCTCCGACACCGAGGAAAGTGATGAGGAAGCCGAGAAGGACCCTCTGGAGGATGACAGTGACTATGAAGACACCAAAGAGTCCAGCGAACCCAAGGATTACAAGGACATCACCAGGGTGGTGCCTTCTGTACGTTTGGATGCTCTCCTAAAGGCTGGGCTGGACACATCCAGGCAGTAGGTGTCTCCTGGATTTGCTGTTTATTTTCTTAGCTTTTATACAAAACACGCCAAAAAACAGCTACTCAAGCAACTGGATATGATTTTTTTTGGCGTATCTTATTACCTGATACATCTAACCTTCACTGATATTTTATCCTAAAACTTCACTGAGAAACCAAATCGTGCTTTCGGGATGCAAGTTGCTATTTTTGAAGACAACAAAAGGCTTGGTTTTCTCCTTAAAGGAATGAAGTTGTGCAAATACATTTGTGATTGATTTCATTTTCACATTCTTCCATTCAGAGATATAGAAATACATTAGCCAGGGGATCCCAATGCAAGGGTTATGCATTGCTGTTGGATAGCTCTGCAATGGTGGAATAAATGTTGAAAGAACGCAAATAACAGATAGCTTTAGTTTTATTGATTTATTGTGTATTTTTTATGTTCCTTTTTCAGTAAAATTGAGGAGGAATTCTATGCCAACAAAATCAGGGTGAACGGACAAAAAGTGTCAAAGAAAAGCATGTCGGTAAGTCAGGAAAACTGGGGACAATTTGATGCATATTCAGATTCAGAACCTGAACATGAATATATTGTCCTTTGTTATCAAAAATTGCATATTTTCAGCTTATTTCACTCACTCACTCACTCAGCACTCACTCGCTCACTCACTCACTCACTCACTCACTCACTCACTCACTCACTCACTCACTCACTCACTCACTCACTCACTCACTCACTCACTCATTCATTCATTGTTCACAGCTGAAGGAAGGGGATACAGTTGACCTGATCCGGAGCACACAGACGGGGCAGGAAGGGACGATGAGCGTCTCGCGCGTTGTGCTGCTAAAAACCGAGAACCGGACGACCCAGTCAGGGAACACTTACGTGCAGCTGAGGAGATGGAAGGCCCTGTCTGTCCCTAACCCCAAGAAGAGACCCGGAGTCACCGAGCAGACTGAGGACTGAAATGTGTTGAAATTGTCATCTTCTAATTTCTCTGACATATCAATGCATCACATGGCACATGTGCAGTTCAAACCATGCACCAAATTCTTGTCTTCTAACTTATCTAAGTTCTCTGTCAATAGTTCAGTTCATCATCAATCTCTCATTGTTCAGTCAAGTTAAGTTTCAAGCTGTAATCATAGATATTGTAGTTCCTGATTTTTTTTCACTGTAGTTTAATAATGTTTACTGTTTTGATGGTCACCACTGTATCATGAACTTATCATTACCATTATGAAATCATTTGTCTTTTCCCCTGCCCCTCTGCGCTTGCTGCCACCTTGAAGATTAAGTTCTGTAAACATGTCCATTTTCCTGAGACGGTGAAATTTTGCTCAGGTGAATTATACAGTATTGTCTCCTCACTGACACGCCCTTGTGGTCAGACGTAGAACGCCTGAGTTGTGGAGACGCAGGAGTTGTCTGAACTCATCGGGAACGTTGTGAGCTCTCGTCGGGAGGGAGTTGTCAAAGTAGTGCTCCGTCAGGCGTCTGTTGCTCCTGTCTGCATGGAAGGGCCAGAACCCGTACAGGTGCACTTCCTCACATATCTGTGAGGCGGCACTAATGAGGTATAATCCTAGATAAAACAGTAAGGAAGAAAGGGAGGATATACTTAATGCGTCGGTGAAGGTTAGACATCCAGGTGATAAGATACACCAAAAACAGTTACTTCCAAAACCATATCCAGTTGCTTGAGTCACTGTATTTGGCGATATACTCATTGCTAAAAAAATATACTTGGGAAGCTATAACTATAGGACACAACGAAATAATTTTGGTCATGTTACTTTGCCAACCTTTATTATAATACGGGCAAACTGGCAAAATAATCATGAATAAGACAAGATGAAATGAAGTACGGTAGAACAAAACAAAACATAAAATAGTTCATAAGATATACCTGTGGTTGCCCTGTGGTCTCCGAGTCCATTCCTTGACCAGTACGCCTGCGCAGATTTTATAAAGTCTGGATGAGGTATGATGAGTTGGTTCCTCTTGTGGCTGATTTCTCGCAGAGCCTGGTGTGTGGCGAAGGTCAAGTCTACGTAATCCTGCCTGAAGAAGGCCGGAATCCAGAGGTAGCTGTCACCGTACTTCGAGAGGTCACGCACAAAAACTGCCACGTTTTCAGGCTTTGTTTCATTGTTAAATGAATTGTACCTGGATTGATTAACAAATCCCTCTTTAAGTTTAAGTTAAGTGTCCACAAGTAACATTGCAATTAAATGATTATGAATCATGTTTTTGTCTCATAGTGTAAAGCAACAATATAGAAATCCGAAAATAAATAACAATGGAATTATGTTATCATGATTTATGTGTTAGATTGATCGTACTATTGCAAACTTTGCATAATGTATTCAGTTCTCTAGAAGTACATGTAGGAGATTTTGAGGGAATAACACAAAACGTACTGATACTCAATCATGCCAGGGTTGAGGGTGATGAGGCTTGTTTTGTTTCCGATGTCTCTCACATATTCATCCCCCATTGGAGCAAAGTTGCACCTGCAAAACACCAGAAGAACATTGTGTGCATTCTTCCTACCATTTTTTCTCCAGCTACAATTGAAAGTGGGAATAGCAACAAGAAATGCTTTTGAAAAATTGGATTGGACTAATGCTACCAAGACTGGACTTAGACGCACGATAGCATTGTATCATGAACTCTTTCCAATGGAAAAGAAATAGTAGTTAAATGGCGAATACGTGCGTTAAAGAATTGCGTCACTTCTTGTTTCATTCGGTTACTAGTAGTATTTCCCTCCTGACATCTGCTTGGTTTTTATCCATCCTCACCTGAACACGAACTCGGAGGCGTCTATCTCCTTCCCACAGCCGCTCCTCTTCAGGATCCCGCCGTTCCCGACTATACTGCACGTCTGGTAGTGATCAGCGGCCCTGGCCTTAAATGGGCTTTTCTGGGCAGAAAAAGAAATGCAGTATGATGATATTTGATATATACTGTAACGTGACGTAAACAATAACGAGAAGATAGGTTGTGTTCGTATAATCTCATTGTAGGCGCCTGACTGTGCGGGTTTATTGTAAATGACCTCAGGTGACCCGAAATGGAATACGCGTTCTGTTCCAATTACCCAGATCGAATCGAACACAGTTCGGGTTCGAATTCGAAAAAAGAAAGTGGCAGATTTGACCACTGCGAGCAGAACAACGGGAGAGAAAAGGAAACTGAAGTGGCATGGCCATCGAGTCACGGTCATCGGGACTAGTCCAAACTATCATGCGAGTAACGGTAAAGGGAGGATTGGTAACAAGATGGGAGTAACGTTATAGTACAAATGAAAGAAACAGCATAAAGATGAACAACCAGTTTCTCCACCCTTTTGGTTTTCTATCTTCATGATGAAGATAGAAAACCAAAAGGGTGGAGAAACTGGTTGTCAGATCATCTGTGCTGCCCCAACAGTCAAATGGTTACTAAGTGATTGCTGAGTTACGTAACGGCCACGTATATCTATAATAACTATTAGACTTCTTTGATTTTATATGAAAGGACAAGAATTCTGTGCAACCAACTTTAGGAAACCGGTGTAAGGCTTCCTTTGAGACATTCAAGATGGTGGTGTTGTGCTCGTAGCGCGTGATGACGAAGTTCAGAGGCGCGTTCTCCTGTGTGGTGACGAAACTTCCGTTCTGAAGGTGATCGCCGTGGATGACTTGCTTCCTGTGGGGTGAAGGAAAATGACTAGAAATTAGATCTCTTTTTAGACATTGCGCAATTATCGGAAACCTGGAGCTCCAAACAAACACAGTCGCTACCGAACGTTAACTAACCAGGATGGTACCCATGATATGTAATCAGACCATTTGAAGATGAAGTCAAACCCAACTAAGTCAAAACTATTACCACATATGTTGTAGAATGTAGCGTAACATTAGACGTAGTCTCTTATATCATGATTATATTTTCCTTTCCATACATGTTTTACTTCCAAAAAGCCCTCGGGAATGTATTTGTAATGTTAAAGACGGGGCCTCTTACCGAAACAAGTCGGCAGCCGTTTTGTTATAGACCCATCCCGGCGCCTCCGTCGGTACGGACTGCACGGCTTTCTGGTCGGACAGAAACTTTTCCTCAGCAGCTGACTCGTCCGGTACCCATTTATAGTAAGGGTGTTTCTTCCTGAAATTAAAGGAACGCACAAAAGTTAAAAATTCAAACCCTGTGACGCGTTTATACACAACAGTCTGATAGTTCCAGCTCTACAAATGACGCCGGTTGTGTCTTACTTTGTTACATACGTACCTTTTAGACTTTGCATCTTTCGGCTTTTCCACTGTTGCATTTTGCCCTGCCGACGTATTGGTTACACTGTCATGTTTTCTTCCGCCTTCAATTTTTATTTTCTCTGCTGGGAGATTTCTGTGAACGAAAAAAAAAAAGAATTTAGTCGCCGTTTGTCTTTTTTGGTCTTCGTTTGCCTTTTTTGAATGTCTAATCAGATCTATCAACCGACTTGTCTTTATGTTACGTGTGTACCTTTTCTGTCCATCTTTCGGCTTTTCCACTAGTGTGTTTTTCTGCACTACCGATGTGGAGTTAACGCTGCCCTGTCTCTGCTCCTCATTTTTTGCTTCGTCGGGGATATTTCTGGGGAAAAAAGACAATGTAATCGTAAAAAGAAAAATAATTTATTTTTTAATACACGAATACTCCAAATAGAAGAACAAAGCAAAAATAGTACTACAGGCCAATTAAAAATATAGGAATGTGGTAGCTCATACCAAGAAGGTTAAACCTCCTTGCTCATACCAGGCTTCAGAAGCGGCTGGAAAGAGTAGAAACTGGCCATAAAGACAGCCAATATGCCAAGGGAGCTGCCCCGGTAGAGGAGTAGAGTTTGCCGTTGGGTATAGGCTAGGGATACGGCTCCAGAGACAGTTGTTGTGTGTGTTACATATTTTTATTTACAAGTAAGCTTATGTTGAAGTGTGTTGTGATGCTATTCCTACCTGTTGGCCCCGACCCAAATTTCCTGAGTTTTCCGGGTCAGTGCATCCGTATAACGCACAGATCCCGGCGTGTACAACTTCGCCGTCACAATCAGCAACACAGCCAGCACCAGGAGCTGCGTACAGTGCCGCCTCGTCCTCATGTGGTCACGGTGCTGCGATGTACTTGTAGAAAAAGAAAGTCAGTATGTTGACAGTACACTAGAATGTCATTGAAACATGGCTCAAAGCCAACACATTGTAATGTCTATGGACCAAGCATACAGTCACACAAAATCGACGTACTGAGTCGCATCAGCTCGGGCTGACAGGAGTTTCAATCGACAACTCCAATCACAAGAACCAAAATGAAGAATTTTGTCCTACCGTCTGATTTAAAAAGACTCGACGACGCGACCTAACCTTTCCCCACTCTGCGCTGTTTCCGGTTAAAGACCCGAAGGGCAAAATAAAATGTGTCAGAGAATGACAACCCTGTCGGACAACTTCTGACGCGGTCTGTGCAGCATTGGGTTTCGAAGGCCAATACTACAATATCATTACATCACAGCCAATGTTTTAGCACGGGTAAAGTTTGTGTGTGGTGTTGGTACTACTGTTTCAGGAACAAGAACATCTTTAATACATACTAATAGGTGTATAAATCTGACTTATCAATGCTACAAGACGACCAGCCTTACATGACCGTCCCTCTCTCCAGAATCAACAGCTACTGGGTGATCACTCAAAAACAAGCACACCATATCAACCCATCCAGGAAGAACTCCTTATTTTGTGCACCAATCTATGCAACTTTATATGCAGACTGTAGAATCTGGCACAAGATAAATGTCACTTGTCAGGTCTGAGGCGCATAGTTAATATGTATAGATCTGATCTATGTGTTAATTTGTCTCTTAATTTGTAAATAGGCATTCAGGCTACCATTGAAAAATGTGTGTCTGCTATTTTGATAAGAAAGAGTTGGCGGTAGTCCGTTAGTCGTGTCTGTGATGACGATGAGTATAAAACGCTTCTGGTTGGCTGGTGCCTCCGGGCACGCAGAAAGGGCGGTTATACCGGCTATACATGTACAGATTTAAACATACCAGCCTTTGTAAACTTGTGCCTGCCATAATAACATGTCACTGCCCTTGCTCTACTTGTGTGCTGTCCACAGGAAGAATACTACACAATGTCCTTTCCGATAAAATAACATGAAATTAATAACAGTGACAAAAGTCAGTCTCTAACAAATTTTCTCTGCAAAAAATGTTTTATTTGACTTTTATGACAGTAGACCTTCACCAGACTTTCACAGTTCTTCTCTGTATGTACAATGTTCACAGTTCCTCACTCAGTCTATACAATACTCATCTACAGACATGATTATGATGTGCTAAAAATCATGATGTATTCTTTTTTTAGTGTTTGCTAGCCAATTTCAAGGAAATGTTGATCAAAGCAGAAATTTCGTCATGAAGATGATCACTAGTCTATAGTACAATGTACAAAGCTGAAAAGACATCATATTAGGACAGTATTTTTTTACTGACTGCTAGCAGAGAGACTGCACCACTATGTACTTGTACAGTTTTTACAGGAGGTATGTATCTGTGTTTTTTTTTCCAATCACATACATGTACAGTTTTTATGCAAGAATAAGGAGTAGCAAAATTACATTGGAAGTTTGTTAGTATGGCCATTTCTGTTCCAAATTGTCCTATACAAGTATGACTGTCAATTTAGATTTCACATATGATGGAGACAGATTTCTTCAAAGTGACTCCCACCTTCAGTATAATCTGACCAGGTCCCCCCCCCCCATCCCCAATTCAGGCATACCTACAAGTATCTGCGATCAATCAATTCTGCTACTGGGTATTTCTGGAAAGAATTTGCTTCATAACTTCCTAGATGCATGTTAGAAGACCACAAGGAGACTAGTAGTGTAAACTTTACACATAGGACTCTTTTCATAGTGAGGGCTCGAAATACCTGCAATTTTAAGTGTACTATCCTGCATATGCAGGTGGTATTTGGAGCCCTGATAGCCCATGTTCCCTGACTACATGTACCCATAGGGCATGCTATCCTAGCGGTAACCCTGTGCTACCGGCCGACCACGATCTGTTTGAGGTCCTTGAGGCTGTGTTCTCTGGCGACCTGCAAGGCGTGGTCCAAGGCATGGATCTGTACCAGCAGCTTTGCCACCTGCTTTATGTTCTCCCTGCAAGGGAAAGGTAGAAATGAGTGGAATGGATGCATGAGTTATGGCATGAACAAAACAGCAGCTACCTACAAATGTAACATTTCCAAAGCAAAATGCATAATGTTTACCATCACATGGTCTAGCCTAACAAAGTACTGCTCTGTTTATTCTTACTCAAACATATTCATACATGTATATAATATATGGAGACCAGCCCTCCAACTCTTGTCCTGCTACATAATGTAACCCAACACCACACGACACAACACACTCAACAGACTGTCTGCTACAGCACCAGTTACCAAGGTGATAGATGTCTGGTCCAGGTCATTGACCTTATATGATAATAATATATGATAAAGAAATCGACTAAAAACATGTTTCAACAAGCCACTAATGTCTTGTCTTTTAGGATGTATATTTAAATCAATGCTTTATGACTGTCACAATTCAGTGCATCTGAAGACTAAAAGCCAATTTTATTTTGCCTCATCTTTGTTTCCACCTCTGTCTCACCTTGCTTTTCTCCTGTCTATGTCCGGACAGCCGATGCTGTTCTTGTGCAGGGTGTTTGCAGAGTGGCTGAGGTAGCGGGCCAGGTTCTGTAAGGGAGGCAGCGTTTCGTCACCCTCCACATCAGCAAACCACTGCCGGGGGAAACTGGAAATTATCTGTGAAGGCAAGGGAGAAAGATGTTAACTTAAGGCACTATAACAAGTAATCTTCAGTAAAACACAATACTGACACTAGTCTTGCACTGCGACCATGACTGCCTATAACAGGAAGCTCTGGGACTCTATGGGCAACCCTTACATCTGTACACACTGACCCTGATCTCTCTACATAAGTACTACTTAGATCTTTTTTATACAATGCTTTTATGTACCTAGAATAATGTTATAGACTGTTATGCTGTCCATGTCAAATTCCATTGTAATGTCTTTGTAAGCAGGGCTAGCACTTTGCAATAGCCACAGGCTACATTGTAGTTGGACTGCCCTAGCTGTGCATACTCAACAACCAACCAATAAATAAACGAACAAAACATAAGAAAAATATGGCAGCACCACTTATTTATTCATCTGTTTCATCATAATATGGCTGGGCAGCCAACTAGTAGAAGCTGCTTTCCACTTACACAGGACAAGACATGATGGACAACAGTCAAATACAATCTGATGCATCAAAACAAAAGCATGTCCATAAATCAAACTCGTCATAACTCACCTTCTGGCTCTTCTCGATGCTGTCGTCGTTAACGTCAGAGTTCTGCAGGGCGAGGAGCATGTACCTGTTGAGCAGCCCATCCACACACAGCTCCATCAGAGGCTCCCGGGACAGGATACTGTGCCACTGCAGCATGTTACCTAGCAACTAGAGGGTGGGAGCCAAACATGTTCATCATGTACATTAAAACCTACATCTGACAACAGACTGAGATGGTACGGCCACCTCCAGCACACAGCTCCATCAGATGCTCCCGGGACAGGATACTGTGCCACTGCAGCATGTTACCTAGCAACTAGAGGGTGGCAAAAAAAAGTCATATACATTAAGTACTGCTTTGGATGACTGATCTGTGGGTTTGTGTGTGTTTGTCCATGGGTGGGGGAAGATTGACAGGCAGAAGGACAGGAAATGGGGGAGAACTGGATGATTACGAGAATCCAAAATACATCCCAGAAGTCTGAAACCTCTGATATCTTGTTTCAAGTCTATATTTCTTTAATTAAGTGCACAGAAACTGAATTATTTTTGGTATCTCTTTTTTTGGATCACCTTCCAAAGACTTGGACTTTATTGGGATCCATAAAAGACCATTTTTTTCCAGTACAGAGCGAGTCCTTACCTTCACACAGCTCCAGAACTGTCTCTGTAGGAAGTAGTACGCTCCAGAAGACTTGTTCTCCAACACCCTGAAATAAAATCAGTGAAAATGACTTATCAGTGAAAATTACAGATACAGATACAGAAGCTGATGCATATACATGAAGGGTGGTTACACTGGCTATACAGATACAGAAGCTGGTGTGTTACCCAGAAGGGTAGTTATACCGGCTATACAGATACGGAAGCTGGTGTGTTACACAGAAGGGCAGTTATACCGGCTATACAGATACACAAGCTGGTGTGTTACACCGAAGGGCAGTTATACCGGCTATACAGATACAGAAGCTGGTGTGTTACACCGAAGGGCAGTTATACCGGCTATACAGATACAGAAGCTGGTGTGTTATACAGATACAGATGGGCGGTTATACAGATACAGAGATATACAGATACAGCTCCGTACCCTTTAGGATAGAGCGGCATGAAGACATCGTCGTCCAGAGTTTTCCTCATCCTGCCGAGCACGGCCCTGAGCAGTGCCTGCGTGGCCTTGTTGTCCCCGGCAACGGTGGGGTAGTCGTCCACCAGCCTCTGTACCAGGGTCACCAACCTCTGGGTCTGGTGTGTGGACATCGGGTCCCACACATGTTCAGCAAGGCCTGGGCAGGAAGTACATGTACATCTATGAACTCTGAGAAAACTGGAACCTCTACATATAACTTTAAGTCCAGACCGGTTTACACATACTAGTACACAAAATGATTTCCTAAATGATCAAACTCATGAAAAATAATTTTTTTTTTCCAAGACAGCTCACTTCCTCCCACAATTGCACATTAAATTTTTGATGTCACACGCTCCTTTTGACCCTTAAACGACATTATAACCCCAAGGGCACACCAAGTTCACAAAACCCCATTACTCCAGTGAAACTCAACCTCAAATGACTCAGTTCTCAGGTCCAAATGCAGACTCAACACAAACACAAAAACTATCACTGAATATGACCAAAAACAGTACTTCCATCCTGGATCCTACTTCCATCAACACAAAGATATCACACCAGTCATGTGTACATGAAGCTATCATACTCTAACTTAGTCTAAGTTTCAACTCTCGCATACGCGAAGCATAACAAACATTTTGACATGTACAGCAGCCCTAGTCAGCCTCCGAACTCTGCTACAGTGTACACCCCATCCTACCTACCAGTCAGTTTCTGCAGTACCACTTTTTCTACTATGCTAGGCAGGAGCTTCACGTCCGGGTCATCCTTGGTGAGCTGGGTCGTCTCTCGGAAACCGTAAAACAGCAACGAGTCGTACCAAGCCATGTCTTCTAAGTCTTGTGCATTCGCCTGAGGAAAAAACCAACATACATTGTCATGTCTACCTGCACCTAACCCGCACTGGGTTTATATACACAAGTACAAGTTTAAGTTAATGTGGATTTTTATTTGTTGCATTTACTGTTACCACATATGAAGTATGAAAGAAATAATGGCAAAGGTTTCTGAATAGTTAATAGCATGATCAGTACTGAGTATATATAGGAGTAGTGCATATTTTACCTGCACTACTATCTGTGTAGTGCAGGTATATTATGTCTGGTGCTTTTGATATTACCTGCACCAGTGCAGAAAAAATATTTCAAGCCTTGAACAGTAAGCATCAAATTTTGTAAAGACAAGGATGATACCTGTAGTGGGTTCCATGTAAGCAGCTCCAGTCTTACAAACGGTGTGAAGAGTTTGGGAAGACAGAGTGAGATGTAGGCTTCGTTGTACGGCTCTCCAAAGTCGTACTTCCACCTCTCGAACTTGGTCTTGATGGCTCGGAAGGTGCAGAAATCATCCACCACATCCTCAAACACTTTCCCCGCCTCTGTCACGATCCGATCTGTGAACAAACCATACATTTCGTGTTTCCCAAAACATACATACATGTACATACCTGGAATCACATTGGACACAGTAAAAACCTTTGAGTTTGACAAAGATCCAGACTTTTTTAAAGAGGAGTTACAGAAACCATCTACATCATACCTCAACAGAGACAAACTACAAACTTTTGCTACTATGATCCACTGCTCACCGAGTCACATGTACTATCTGCGTAACGTGATGTCACAGAAGTGTTGGACTGGAGTTGTACATTCAAAAATTTGTCTAATTTTCATGTTGGAAATCGCAGTTCAAACCTATCTACTGGTGGTAGCTTTGAGTGGGATAGTGCAGCCTTGAAATGAGAATCATTATAAAAACATAGAATTGCAAGACAATTTAACTTTAGATATTTATTGAAGAAATGAGAGAAGAAAGTCCGAGTTGATGTTGACCTTTTTCTGAGTTAAACCTGAGAATGTCTGTCTCCTGTTCCTCCTCATCACTGGACATGCCCTCGTGGTGGGGGGTGGGGGGGTCCACCGCCTGCCTGGCACGCCGACGTCTCGACCTACAGACACAAACCAGCCGTCAGGAAAACTCACGTACTAAACCTTTCTTACACAGTCTGTTCATATGATCTCACTACTTAGGCCTATTGATGCAAAAAAAAGCCATAGACACACTGGTAGAAGCATAACATAACCCTAAACCAGTCAGCCATGACAAAGTCTACCTGAAGGTAAACTGTAAAGGTAAAATGTAGTCCTACATGTATGTCTTTTTCAGGCTGTAGGGGTACTGGGTCTAGGACTAGGCTTAGCCCAACCATATTCTTCCACAGCCTTTTACCAGTCCCAAACTGGTCAGGTATATACCCATTTTACACCTGGGTGGAGTGAGGAAAGTCATCTGAAGTGCCCTTCCCAAGGGACACAAACGTCTTGCCAGGAATTCCAGGGATCAAATGCAACCTCTCAATCTCATGTTCACTGGTCAGCCACACCATACCACGTAAACCATAGCTACCCCTTATACATACTTCACAAAGTATTGGCTGCTGTTGTAGGTAGTAGCACTGTACCACTGTGGCACATGCTACCACCTGTGTGCCTCACTCGCTGCACTGACTAACCAACCTCCAGGGTTTAACACATCTGCAGAGACAATAACCATTGTATCCGACCTTCGCGCCTCCCTCTCAGCTATTCTTCTCTTCTTGACCTCAGCAAAGCCTGGAGAGTCTCTGCCCAGCGTGTCCAGACTGCCGGCCGCCTTGTCTGAGGGGAAAAGCAAGGAGAGTTTTAACACTTACCTAGTTGTGGATCACAGATGTTGCCAATCTATAAACAATGTCTATCAATAAGGAAACAAAACACTGTGTGCATATGCACTTTTGTGTACCAAAAATTGGAGCTGTACAACTGACAGCAAATGATGTCCAGTCTGAGCGAGACAAAATTGTTCTCTTGTGGTCACCTTTGGGAGGTTGTCACCTTACTATAAGGTCATATTTCCAAACTAGGGCCTAGCCAAGCTGTTTACGTGGAAGAAAAATAACAATTCATATCACAAATACACAGAGTACTTTTGATTGTTTTTTTCTTCAAAATTTGTGTTTTGTTGTCTTATATACGTTTTACTTTTCGTTCCCGGAATCTGATTGGCTGGGCCCTGGACTGAAAATTTTGACAGTAGCATTACCATGCTTTCCTGTACACTACTGTATACAAGTACATGTATTACAACTTCAAGTACAGCACTGGTATTCTGACATTCTGGTTGAACTTACTGGTTTTGTTCATCTGCTCCTCACTCTCATCTTTCGTGTCGTCCTGTCGACGCTGTACAAACCTCTCCGCCCGTTGCCGTAGCAACATGTGCATGGCCGTCTCCAATTGGTCGATTTTGGGCACCTGCAGGAACAGAGGGACGGAGTTGGATCATCATATCTGTATTAGTGAAGCAGCTAACTGTTTAATCTCACACCATTACACAAGGGACAACCCACGTCAAGGGGACATAGATGGGTACATGTTGTATTTACTTTTAGTGAGAACCACTGAGTTTGAAAATGTGGGCCAGGTTAGGGTGATTCTTGGAAAAGCCATGTTGACGTACTGTACAAGTTTCACACTCCATCATTCAATATCATAGAATTGAATGCTCCAAGATTTGATAGGGAGAAACAAGCACAACTCAAAGTATGATATCAACTTATAATTAGTTGGTTTCAATTTTGAAATTATTTAATGAGTTGGCACATTAATCACTTTACAGTTGTTAACTTAACACATATTGAGAAAATGTCCATGTTCCAAAATTTATTACATATCACTGCTTGTCAAAGAAGGAACCAGTTATCTATTATAAACATTTTTGGTCGACATTGTATATGGAATTATCATGTTCTGTTGGCAACTATCCAAGTCAAAGGTACAACCTGCTGAAATGATAATCTGCAGACAATCGTTGATAAAGGCACACACTACTGGTATCACATATCTGACAAGCTATGAACTAAGCTTGAGATATGCATATACGTTAATATCTTTCAGGAAAAGACTGGACATAAAGTGCTAAAATACTCTAATCTAAAACATTTCCACAACCATGTCATGTAAGTCATAGTCAACAGAATATAAAGACTAAAATATGTGCAGCTGTTTTCCTTTCAAATAAATATATTGGAGAGGTTGTAACACACAACATGTACAGGAACCATGTGACCACATACACACATGCATGTACATTGTACACACACACACACACACACAATCATGAACTGATGTCCCACAGTCTTCACACAGCAGCTGCCACTTCTCATATCTTACAGGTACAAGTCTAATGCAGACTGAGTCAATGGAAAGGAAGGGAGGCAGCTTCCCAATAGCCACACTATATATCAAACCTACCCTGTACTTTGGGCAAGTACAGTAAGCTGGTAAATACTGTTCAACAAAACAGTAAAACATGTTACTAACTTTCCTTACTAGTCCTGAGGGAGGTCAACAATGATTCATTCACAGTGATATCACATGAAGATTAGTATAAATTAAAACCACCCTGTATGTTTTCCTAGTAATTCTAGCTTCAGTTTCTTTTTGATATTGCCAAATATCAGAGTACAAGCCCCTGCCTAGCCCCCGGCTATTATGGCTTGCTGCCTCCCTGTCAAGACGTACCTTCTCATTTAGACATTCTACCAAGTCTCTCACATACCCCCTCATCTCTTGGAAGAACGTGAACTGTCGCTCGACGTCGTCTGCCGACCCCTCGATGTCATCGACCGCGTTAACGGAGGAGTCCATGTCGTGGGCGTGTTTTTCGTGCTCGCGCTGGTGGGCCGAGTGTACCTGCTTCAGGGAATCCAACCTTGCAACACATACGCTCAGTTTTAATACCAGTTAAGGGAAATCATTGTCCACCATACATGTACATGCATATAATTATAAATAGTGCATATTCCTAGAAATTAAATCACTAGAACTGGTTACTTACTACTTTGTTTTATTAGACTCATCATGCCCCCCCAAAACAGAAAGGAAGGCAGTGGTTATATACACAAAATTTAAGATGGGGAATAAGTAGATTCTTCTGTTGCATTACAAAGTATCACACTCCAATATTGATTGCTCTTCTTTTCCTTCCTTACTACAACAACTGAGCATGGCAGCAGAATGTTAAGTGCCTGTGTGAAACCCTGATTTTTTCATTGGATGTTTCTTAAAGTTTGCTTCAGAATTCGGTCTGTGGCAGAAAATATGTCTGCCCATTTTTTGCACAGCCACAGTACCTTCTGCCAATGTGCTCTATCTACACATACCTGTCCCTCAGTCGGTCCTTTACAGACTCCAGTGTGACCGCTGGCAGCTGACTGGGAGGTACCATTTGGCCTGAGCTGGGGGGGATGGAGGGGAGGTTGTACCCTCCACTATAGGGCTGTACCACCGGCTGGGGGGTACCCATGTACACGGGAGGCTGCTGGTACATGTACTGCTGCTGGTAGTAGTTATAGTCCTGCTGAGGCTGGGTGGTCTGGACCTGGGGGGAGTTTTTAAACTGTTTGTTTGAGATCATTCTTTATTCATTGAGAAGCTCAAATCGTCACTTTTTATGGAGGTCATGACCCTTACCATACATGTTTGTAATGCAAGTTACAAAGACTATAACAAATGACTAAACACGAATCACCAGTGGATCATGCGAGAGATGTTGCTGCAACCACTACATGTTTGTGTGTGCTGCAAACCGTGTATGCTATAAAATCATGTTGGTTTTCTTCAATCCACTTTTCAGTAGAATGACAATATCAAAATTGGGCTAATGCCACTGATCACAATTCTTTACATTTTTTCTCTTAACTGTTATAGTGTTAACAGAACTACACAAAATGTTGCATCAAATTCTATAGTATCAGACAGTGAGACACATTCCATGATTTCCACAGACCGTTACCTTATTCCATGATGACCTGCCTACAGAAGGCATTACCTTGTTCAGTGATAGCCCTGCTAAGGTGGTGGTTGCCATGGTTACCTGTGGGATGCTGACTCCCTTCCTGATCTGCTCCTGCTCCCACCTCTTCACTTCCTCATCCTGGTCCCGCTCTCCCTCCTCACTGTCACTGCCTGGGAACACAAGGAAGCATAACTTTAACCTTAAATGGGGACATCAGGGATGTTAACAAGGGAGACAATGGGTTCTTCTTCTCCACTCGTCCCTGTATTACAACAGTGGGCGGAGTTCTGCTGTGGTGATGTTTCTGAGCCCAGCATATACCACTTCAGGTTGTCAATGAAGGAAGATGTAACTTGCGAATTCCATGACAGGGCTTGAAATACAATTTTCTGCATACTTGCACTGGTGCAGGTAATACTGAAAATTGTCTGTACCAGAGGAATTTTACCTGTACCACTCATTTTCATCCCTTTCAGTCCTTAAAACTGTTTGCAGGAGGGCGTGGTGCTATCTTACGTCCTGTAACTAAGTTATGACAATGACAGGTTATATAACAGGCTACTACTTTGGACTGGTGCAGATTTGCTCTGGTAGACATCAGAAATTCCTGCACAGCCACCTGTACTAACCTGCATAGAGTTTTCAGAATTGTTTTTAAAAGACCGTTCTTCCTCCCTACCTTCCAGCACCTCCATGATGTCCTCCCTGCGGGTCCGTGTGGGGTTGGCTCCGCGGAAGTCGATCCTCTCCTCCTCGCTGTCGCTCCTGTCGTTCTCGTCTTCGCGCACCAGGCGGGATTTCTCGCCCTGGAACCGCTGCGTGTCGTCCACCGGGATGAAGTCCTCCCCGCCCATCTCACGCATCATCTGCCGACGCTTCCGCGCCGCGTGGATGGTCGCAGCGTCTGGGATCACACCTGGGAAAAAAACACCAATCAATCAATCGTTCCCAAGCATCAAGATCTGATGCATGGTGGAAGCGTCAGGGATCACACCTGTTAAAAAATAACACTGTAAGAATTAGGAGAGTAGAAACACTGTTACAACACTAATCTAAAGTCATAGTTTGTCTCATTGTAATTTGAAACTAAGACAAACCCTGGACCAATAAAAATGTACTACCTCATCATCATCATCATCTGTCGACACCCTGGCTGGGGGACGGGGCAAGCTCCTGCACAACACGACGCCACAAAGTACGATCTTCCATTGCAGCTGGAAGGTCTTGTTGTTGTAATCCTGTGTCCCTTGTAAGAGTAGCTGGATATGTGAGTTTTCTGGAGTGAGTCTTACCATGTGGTTTCCACAGGAGGAGTGATGAGATGACTTCTTCTTTTGCACGATGGCAGTGTCCCGCAAATTTTACACGTCTATGTTTTAATCTGAGTGATACTAGGGGAAGGCTTCCATATATATTCTTTCTCGTTGGATGTTGCTTCCAGTTGATGTTCTGTGCCTTCCTGAGAAGTTTTGTGTATGTTCCATCCAGACGTTTTTCTAGGCGTGTTGTTAAAGTCCAGGTTTCGGCGCCGTAGAGAAGAATAGGTTCGACTATGGCGCGGAAAACTTGTACTTTAAGACCATTACTGATGTTAGAATGCCAGATGTTATCCAGTTTGTTGCAGGCTACCCAAGCTAGAGCTTTTCTTACGGTGAAGTCCCTTTCAGAGTTCATGATGTGCGATCCCAGGTACTTAAAGTCTACAACTTGTTTTATACAGATACCAGATAGTGACTTAAGTTCGAAGGTGGTATTGGAGGGACATGTACATATGAACTCGGTCTTAGATTCATTGCAGTGTAGACCTACTTGGGTGGCTGCTTTCTCGAGTGACTGTAGAAGAGTTTCCGCATCCTTAACCAGGTGTGTTGTCAGTGCTAAGTCATCTGCGAAATCCAGATCAGTAAGGTTCACAGCTGGATGACGACGACTTCTCCTGGGCTGGATTTCAAGCCCTTTCTCTTGCATACTATCAAGTGAGAGTCGTAGGATGTAGTCGAGGACAACAATAAAAAGAAATGGTGCTAGAGTGTCCCCCTGAAGAACACCAGCGGTTACCTTGAAGGGACTTGTTTCACCATCCGATGTAACCACAGTAGCAGTGGTGTTGGTATACAATGACTTAATTGCCTCGATGATAGGGGGAGGTATCCCATACAGGTGGAGTATCTCAAACATAGTGTTTCTATCTATAGAGTCAAAAGCTCTTCGAAAATCGACGAATAACAGTACCAAGTCTTTGTTACATCTTCTCATCTCTTCTATAATACGCCGAAGGGAGAGGATTTGTGTGATTGTAGACCTACCTCTCCTGAAGCCATTCTGGTTTCTCCGTAGTAGTGGATCGACTGCTGGTACAATACGGTTTAGCAGGAGTTTGTTATAGATTTTGGCTGCGATAGGGATGAGGGTGATTCCACGATAGTTTGCAGCACATGTTAGATCACCTTTTTTGGGTACTGGTATTATTCCTCCCTTCAGCCATGCAGAAGGAGGTTTGTGTGTGAAAAAAGTATTATTACACAGATGGAGAAGTAATGCATGGAACATTGGGTCCTTCCATACAATGGTGGGGATATTGTCAAGTCCAGGGGATTTGTTGTTACTAAAGGAATTCAGAACAGTTTTGAGCTCGTCGAGTGAGAAAGGCTCAGTTGAGATGTTAAGTTGCTCCGACACTTGGACTTTCCTCAGTGGTTGGTTGAGTGGAACCTTTGGGGGTTCACCAAGCAGGGACTGGAAGTGCGAGAGCCAATTAGCCTTCCTCTTTTCTTGGGATCCTCCCTTTATGTACTACCTACTGTGGCTATGTCTTTGGCATGTCACATAAAGTTGGCTTTTGTACCTGTCTCCTAATCATACATGATTGAAAAAAAACTGATACGCATTCTAAATGAAAAAAATTCTGGTAAGAAGTCTGTAAGTAACTGATCATGTCACTGTGCTTAATGTCTCCGTTACCACACTAAGTTTGAATACTTCCTACCTGCCCTGATACTGGGTTTGAACTTCTCCTCCTTCTTCCCTTCCTCTCCTGCCTCTTCCTCCTTCTCCTTTTTCTCCTGCCCGTTGTCCAGACTGACCAGCGTGTTCTGAGCATCTCGTAAGGACTGCAGCTTCTCGGAGGTGTACTCACCTAGGGACACCTGCGTGTTCACCTGGGGGCAATTATATGACATGCTTTATTACCTGTGCCTAGAAGCCTGTTGAAGGTTATGTATTAGGTAGATTTAAAGCATGATAACTCATATATATTTTTGTTCCAAACACATCACGTCACTAAAGCTGACGTAAGTGTAGCAATAACATAATTACTTAACATCTGTCAATTATTATGTATGTTTGTTCTATAATTTTCTACAGCATGTATTCTATCAGTTTTTTTTTGCAATTATATGACAGCATTTCTTTTACATTTGGATGGATGTATATTTTGATGCTGACAACACAATTAGTAAAATGCTAACCTTCTTCTCTTTCTCCTCTTTTTCTTTCCTCATTTGTTCTTCCTTCCACTCCTTCTTCAGCTTGTTGGCGACCCGTTTGCTATGGCTGGACTTTTTCACCCGGAACATCTCCGTTTCACAGCCTTGGGAAAACATAGAAAATCAACACTTAACAATTAATACTGCTCAAGGAAGAAATAGGAAAGACCTACAGGAAATACTGCATCTTCCATCACCTCATTTTTCATCTGTGAAGCTTTTTATCCTCTTGAGAGTGAATCTGACAACCAACTCATGAGTTTACTGGATGACTAGACTTCAATTCCTACTTGTTATTTTCAGATGGCTGTTCCCTATTTTCATATTCGACACTCTTACCTTCTTCTTCGTCGAAACTGAGCAGACTGGGAGCCTTTTTCCCCGGAGTTGCCATTTTGTCCGCCTTTTTGTTCCACTTCTCCTTCTTGCTTTGCACGCCGCCATGCGTGCTGCCAGGCGAGCTGGCCCCAGACCCGGGGCCTTGCGTTTCCACCATCGGCAAGTCGCCTAGACCCGGGATTTGCAGCTCTTTGTTTTCATCAGACTCTTCCGAGTCATTTCTCCTGCGAAGATTTCGCTGTTTCTTCTTGGGAAACATCGTTTCAAGCGAGATTTTGGCTAAGAATTGATCCCTGATTGTTTTTCAGACATCTCTTCTCTAAATTAAAATGGCGGGGTCATCAATGAAGGATGATGGGTAATGATTTACACATTAAAATTTCCACAAATTATGTACAAAATGTAAACATTTACAGTTATCCTTTTCCTACTATCCTCTTGAATATTTTACGATTCATAGTAAAACATGATATAATGCCCATAACATGTTTGTTAGAATACTATATTTAACAGTTGACCTTTGCCCTTTAGTTCCTGGTGGGAAAGCTGGAAGAAGCTTAGCTTGGGCGGGAGGAAAAGTTGTTGTTCCAACTTTTCATCAAATTTCTGGACAACCTTCTTTACTGCCCGACTTCCATTTCCTCAAATTATTCTGTAGACATTATCTAGACAACGACCTGGGAGTATTTTTGCCGACCCGGAGCAAAGAGACGTTTCTGAAGTGAACATCTCTCCTTGGTCTTCTTGGGCGTCTTTTCGTTTTCGGGAGGAGCAAGATTTTGTAGCGCATCTAAAGTCAAAACTGTGCAAAGTATGGAATGTTGAGGGGAAACAACGGCCCCTTGTAACACCCGGGGATCTGAACTTTTAACGGGAAGCCGTTATCCTCAGCAAAACCTCCGAAATGAGCGACTCGGACGACTCGCTGTCGGAGGCGGGGCCGGAGGAGGGGGAGAAACCGTTCGTGGAGCAGATCGACATCGAAGAGCTCGATATCGAGGAGGTGGGGACCTGACGGAAATTTTATGGTCCTCTTTAAAATAAAATAATTAGACCATAGCCTTGATTTGGTAGCTTTGAAATATCGGTACATTCACTTGAGAGAGGGATGTGAATTTTATTATTGCAGTGACATTCAAAACATATCCATTTCCGTTTTCAAATCATATAAACAACAAAATAACATTCATAAATTGTCAAACTGATTAGAAATAACCAAGGAGGTTTAAAATCATTTAACCTTCTTGAAATAACTGACACATGCATGATGTTGATTCTCCAGGTTCATAAATCTCTATTATTGTATATAACAGCAACCCAGTAGATATTTATGACAGCTAATCCCCCAGGAGAAAAGGAAGATAAAATGTTGAGGAATGAAATGACCTCATTTGTCATGAAAGAACAGATGAACAAATTCTACACTCTCCTATTCCTGCGCAGGTTGTAGGCAGAGGTGCGTTTGGGATGGTGAGTAAGGCGCGATGGCGAGACATGACCGTGGCCGTCAAACTCATTGAGAGTGAGTCGGAGAGACGAGCCTTCGCAGTGGAGGTATGTATACGTAAGAACTACTAGTACTGCTAAATGCTAATCATGAAATACATAAGTATTTGCAACTTGTTACAGTACCATAGCCTGGTTACCAGACCTAATTTAGCTCCCAAGTCTTTTTCCTCTCTGCAAAGCTCCCGCAGAGAGGATAAAAAATCAGAAGCTAAGAATAAGCATGGAGGTAATTTTTTTTACCTCCATGGAATAAGTAAGACAGGTCTGGTAACCAGGCTAACAGTACTGTTATGTCTGTCATCTTATTGGTGTAACTGTTACATGAATTTCAATGAAAATAGAATTTCAATTCTTTCTACACAGATTTATTGTCAAAGGCATGTTTATTCATGTATTAAGATCATTTTGGTTTTCTCTGAAGGTACGACAGCTGTCCAGAGTAAGCCATCCCAACATTGTCAGACTTCACGGAGCCTGCATATCTGAAAGGGTAAGACTGTTCAGTCATTCCATTACCAAGTTGAAATTGATGTGTTTTAAAAACATTACTCTTAAATATCCCTCTTCATATTATTGAGGATTATCTTGATCTTAATACATTATCATGGAAAAACGAATGGAACAGCAAATATATTTTTTGCATAGCACAGTCATACATAGTACGATGTATCTCAACTGATTTGTATGTATCTATTCCAGGTATGGTGCTTAGTGATGGAGTATGCAGAAGGAGGGTCCCTGTACAATGGTGAGCTCTTTATAGTGTACAATTAAGTTGTTTGAGTAACACTTTTCTGGTGTATTAAAGGTAAGAATTACATCTAACAGTGGCTGATACACATGTCATATTGATTTCAGTTCTCCATGGCAGTGAAGTGACCCAGCCCATCTACACAGCAGCTAATGCCATGAGCTGGTGTCTCCAGTGTGCCCAGGGTGTGGCTTACCTACACGGCATGAAACCCAAGGCACTCATACACAGGGACCTCAAACCTCCCAAGTAAGGAACAGATCTAGAAGGGTGTCATTGACGAAACGTAGTGGATGCCTACTGAAATGTTTGACCGTTTCCAAACTAAAATCATATCCAGTTGCTTGAGCAACTGTTTTTTTGCATATCCAGAAGGGTAGTTTGTGTAACACAGCTCTATTATATGTGTAACAGCTCTATGAAACTTTTGTAGGGGCCTGACCAGTTAAATATTGTAAAAAATTTTCAGTTAAGATTACCAATGATGGTCCCTTTTATTGTAAGCCATTATATGATTTGATGCTGTAGTATTTCCAAGCAGGCTGTGTCAGAACCAACTATTGACAAAGGTGTTAGCCATTTCATTAAGAAGTCAGCTGAATTTTGTGCAACAACTGCACTTCTATCCCTCAGTTCATGAACATACGACAATAGCACAATGTACATGTATGTTACCAGGCCCTTAATAAACATGATGAAGGTAACATTGTGCTTTGTCCCTCCAGCCTGTTGTTGATGGAGGGTGGTACACTACTGAAGATCTGTGACTTTGGCACGGCCTGCGACATCCAGACTCACATGACCAACAACAAGGGCAGTGCAGCCTGGATGGCTCCCGAGGTGTTTGAAGGTAAGACACCAGACTTACAGACTTTAGATGTAGGGGTCCTCCCTGGTGTGGAGGTACCGGTGGTTCAAACCTTATTACCAGTCTTATGCAGCTTTGACGTACTGTACAGAGCTGGTGTGTTACCGGTTATTTGAAACATTTTATCATTGCTGCCTCTCTCCAAACAGGTAGCCTGTACAGTGAGAAGTGTGATGTGTTCAGCTGGGGAATCATCCTGTGGGAAGTCATCACACGGCGGAAACCCTTTGACGAGGTCGGCGGACCAGCCTTCCGGATCATGTGGGCCGTGCATAATGGTATGTTTGCAGAATGTTTAGATAAAACAATTTTCTTATTTTATAGTCCCACACAATGGTTTCATGGTAATAATTTTCAATAAGGTTAAGCTTATTTCAGATTCCATCAGTTTTCAAACCTACAGTTTTTTCCTCTACAAGAAAACAATTTTTGTTATCTTCCATTCCAGGCACGAGACCACCACTTGTGAAGGGACTACCTAAACCTATAGAAAACCTCATGACAAGGTAGGCTCAACTTCATGTCAATTGATTCATCAACTAACCTTACACATGTATAATTCTGTTGCTAACTGTAAATGTTACAAAGGTGACATAAACAACAGCCTTCCTTCAAGAATAACAGAGTTGTGTTGTGTTCACAGATGTTGGAGTAAAGACCCGAATCAGAGACCAGCTATGGAGGAGGTGGTACGAATCATGGCTCACCTTATGCAGGTACATCTTATTTTCATTTATACATGTCCAACATGTAGGTAGGCCTAGGGGAAAAAGTTCTGTTTCTGCTTACCTGACCCAAGCAAAACCCTGCCGACCGAAGGACGGTTTTGCTGGCAAGACCGTAAAATTTTACCTAATATGTTCCATTCACTGTTATCCTTTGAATTGTTACAGTTCTTCCCAGGTGAGGATGAGCCTATCATCTACCCATCCAAGGAAGGTACGTATCCACACCTGTTGCAGGGGGTTTTCAACTTACTGAGGTTTTATCTTCAATTCTCACAGGAAATAAACTACAGCCTTGACTACAGTACAATATTGTGGACTTTTGTATTCTCCTATCCTAAAATGATACTGGGTACTTAGTGAATATCTAGGTTCTAGAGACGTTTTGAATTCTTGTACAGAAGTATTGTTTTGAGTGGCTGAGCATGTCAGTTTGTCTGTCCAGAGTAGGTTGACAGTTTAAGAATAAGAGGAAGTGAAAGGTGCTAGAGTCTAGCCGAGAGCCAGCATAGAAAAGACACATGGATACTGAGAATTGCATACCTCCTGAAACTCTGAAATCTCCAATTTGTTGTTTGTAAATCACTTGTTTTATGGACAAAAACAAAAGTTTGCACTTTTCCCCATCCAGGAACGCCACAGATGCAGAGCAGGTCGTCCAGTATCAATAGTATTATTGACGTGTTGCCGCCGGAGAGGGCAGGAGTGTCGGAGTCTCGCACCAGCACGCTGAGCGACACGGTGTGGCGATCAGAACACACCTCCCCCATCACACCCTCCACCATCAGGGCCGCACCACAGCAGGTCAGGGGGGGACACTTTTGTGTTTTTGACTTTTGATGATACATTGTTGTTTGTTTCGGTCCTAGTTGCATATGTAGACCAGGAATAGATGGATGAATGGTTGAATGAATGGACAAAAGAATCATTAAAAGTAAAAGGCAACTACAAAATACTTGTGACACCTACTTTTTGCAATATCACAGACACATGTATCAAAGATATTACTGTTTGCATTGTATAGTTTTTTAAAGTAGCAGATGAAGATCAATCTTTTCCTATGAAATTTCTCAGCACATTCTGTCCTTGCCTGTGACCAAAGTATATTTTCTCCCACCCTCAACAGGATAGCCCAATGAGAAGCCACCCTTCCTCCAAGAATGCCAGTAGAGAGAATCTGGACTCCATCGAGGGTCGGCGCAGCTCGAACCCTACCGTGGAGACCAAACGGTTGTCAGCTGACCTTGGAGTTCTGATGGAGAAGGGAGGGCCGGATGTGCCCAGTGGTATGTCACTAGCCTGCTGACATGGCAAACAAAACTAAATGATATTCAACATACTTGTCTTTGTTTCACAAGCTTATGTTATCATGACGACATGTCACTGACCTGTCAGTTGTCTTCATTGGGGGAAGCTATACATACACTTTGTTTAAGTATGTCGTCATGAAGGGTCTTGACAAATTATGAATGTGCTGCATGCATAGAAACCATGTAGAAACAATAGCATGTAGTGAGTTACTTCTAGTTGTAGAACTGACTCTGTGCATCAGTAAGACAAGCATGTATGTGCGTGTAGGACTGTGGTTATGGCAGAATATGTTTTCCGATGTGTTCATATGAGACAAGCATGTATGTGTGTGTTAGGCTTTGGTTATGGCAGATGATTATGTTTACCGGTGTGTGGTATATGAGACAAGCATGTACAAAATGTATGTGTGTAGGGCTGTGGTTATGGCAGATGACTATATAAAGGGCTGTGGTTGCTATTTTGTTTACCGGTGTGTTCATATGTTTGCAGCCCGACCTGCATGGCAAACTCACCGGCGCGTGAGATCCCACGGAACCATACTTGACATGATAGTTCCGCAAGGATCGCCCGGGCAACCGTCGGCGAAACCTGGTCTGCAAAACGTTCTTTGATCTTCTCTCCATCAAATTTGATCAAGTGCCATGGCACCTATTCTTTCAACACTCCCAGTGCTATGCCCTTAACTGTGGTGTTGTGTTTTACAGTGTGTGAATTGTTTGCCCAGCTGTTGAAAAATACTATTAAAATTTCATGTTCTTCTCTTAGCTTTGAGATTCATATAAAAACTTCTAACTAGTTTTCAGCTGTTCTAAAATGTCAGTTCAGATGTAGTTTATGCTCCCAATTTTGTCTCTGACTATCAAGCCACTTCCAGGATTTTGGTTGAATGTAGATAATTTTTGTTCGCTAAAACAGTAAAACATCATCAGCAGATACTTATATGCTTTAAACATTTAAGATAAGTTTTACATGGCCACCTTCTTTTTTAAGATCCTTCTTTTTTAAGATGACTTGTATTGAGTCTGTTTAGTGTTGTTACTGGTAATTATAACTTTTGCAAAGTTTTGAGTTAAATTCAGATTTAAAAATCAAACTGTGTACAGCTGGGTTACAAGCACTGTGAAACACCCCATCCACAAAAGGAGCAGCTTCAACAATCAACCTTTTCTGTTCAGTCTACTTCCCCTCACAACCACAACCAAACCCTGTGATCTCACTCCACTAAATCAACCCATTCAGCTTGCAATCATGCTTTCTTTTAATATCAGTTTCTTTTGTGCATTTGATTTAAGCTCAAGCCTGTTTGTTTTCATAATTTTCCACATTTCCTGTGTTTGCAACTGAAATGCTCACCAATCACCATGCTTTGTGATGTTTTAACTCAAGTAACTTCCTAACATGACATAATTTAAGCTGCTAGTTACGTATATAATCTTGACAATGCTTGCTACTTTAAATTTCCTTATTCTTCATACTACATTCGTAGCTAGGGCCACACCAATTTAATTTGTTGGTTCTCGGATTTGTTCATAAAAAATATGAAGCGACAGGGCGAAAAATAAAAAAAATAAAAACAGGTCTAGGCATCCTATTATAGCCCCAAATGCTACAATATGAGCCATGAAGTCAACAAAAAAGGCTGGGTTAAAATTTAAAGTATAAATTTTGAACTTGTAATCAAACCACTGCATTGATAGATGGAAAAAACTGTAACAACTAGGAAGAAAAGGAATTTCCTCAACTGTTGGGGGCAAAATATGAGCATTTTTGAGTTGATTCAGAACCAGAATCTTTTTTTTTTTTTGCAAATCAGAAAAAAAGAAGAGGCGAATCCGAGAACCAACAAATTAAATTGGTGTGGCCTAGTATCATTCCTACCCCTTTGTCATGTTACACATTGTATTAACCAATAGTTTTGTTGCTAACTACACTGTGCATGTATATGTGGTATTTTATGGTTAGATCAGGCAGCTATACTAATATTGTATTGTAAGAATCATCCTAAAAATGATGCATTTACATACATTGTACGTACATGCGGTTCAGTGAGTTTAGGCTGCTGACAACATTGTCCTTTGTCTTACATGTTTTCTTTGTTCATAAGCTTTCATCAGTTTTGTTCACATGTTGAAGATCAGTGTTGCCTCATGGACTTGGTTAGAATTTGTATTTTTCTATTTACAAGAAAAATCACTCAATATTCCCCTCACCTGTTTGACAACACAAACAAAATGACACCTCCCTTCCTCCAACCACTCAGCCATGCAGATCTTAACTGTTTAATCACTTACATGCATACATGTTATCTCCAAGCAGATCTTTTGGTGGCTGGTAGGCAGTATCATTTGCAGGGTAGTATCCATTTGCCAGCCCCCTCAAAGATAAAAAGAAAAGAAAGTCCAATAAAAAAGCCTACAAGGCCCTCTGTTTGGAGAGTACATGTAACATAAAAATGTCACTACAAGGAAATTCTAATTTACATGTAGTGTAAAACATTATTATCCAGGCTATGAGTCCTGACTGTTAATGCCAATGCTGTTCCTCGATTTATTAATTATGTGTCATCAATTTCCCATCATGCCACTGCAGCAGTTCAAGGTCAGCCTGAGGGGCTCCATCGAGCATCATCCCAAGGTCACCTCCAGCCAGCCGCGATGGACAAAGAACGCCAGTCTCCTAGCAACAGTAACCAGGGACGACCGCTCCACGGAGCCAGCCCCGCCTGGCACGAGGGGAACAACCAGGGGCCGCTGCCTGTTAGGAGTGTGTCGTGGACAGCAGACGCCACCCCCAGCAAAGGTGCGTACTTGGTACGGTCCACAGTCACCCCTAGCAAAGGTGGGTACTTGGTACGGTCCGCAGTAGGGCCACCCCCAGCAAAGGTGCGTACTTGGTACGGTCCCCAGTAGGGCCACCCCCAGCAAAGGTGTGTACTTGGTACAGTCCCCAGTAGGGCCACCCCCAGCAAAGGTGGGTACTTGGTACGGTCCTCAGTAGGGCCACCCCCAGCAAAGGTGGGTACTTGGTACGGTCCTCAATAGGGCCACCCCCAGCAAAGGCGCGTACTTGGTACGGTCCTCACTAGGGCCACCCCCAGCAAAGGTGCGTACTTGGTACGGTCCTCACTAGGGCCACCCCCAGCAAAAGGTGGGTACTTGGTACGGATGGAAGTATTCTTTTGGTCATTGCTGGTTTAGGGAGGGTTTGTATAATGTTGGTGTTCCGCTGTTCTTGTAATATCTTTTTGTTTGTCTTACAGAAGAGGCCAAATGACAGCTCCCTGCCCATAGCTTACCTGACACTGGAACATCACCTGCAGGTACAGAGACTTACAATGTACAAAATGTAGTCATTTGTAAAACGTCAGAGGATCTATCGTAACTTAGAGATTGAAAAGTAAATTTGAGATCAGTGTAACTATTTGTCTTGAGTTGTGGAACATTCCCTTGCTGGACTACAATTTCATCATGACTTTACAGAAGAGTGTTAGCTTGATGATTGTTGTTTTGATCCACAGCCCCTGGCTCCTTGCAACACATCTAAAGAGTCCATGGCCATCTTTCAGCAACATTGTGAAGTGAGTCTAGTGTTTCAATATCCTTTTAATCCTTATGTCATGATCTAAATGGGGGTGTGGGTTCAAATCCCACTTCTGACACCATTTTTCACATAGTATTGGAATACAATGGAGAGATTGACTCACACTGAGGCTGTAGCTGAACCTTGTATTCTAAAAGGGTTAGCACTACAGAGGTGCTCACTCCATGATACATACATACATACATACATTTTTAATGGATAAAAAGGCAACTGCCTGTGTGATCCATATCTGAAACCTGAATCATGATGTGATTAAGGAAGAGAGAAAAAGATTGTCCTACTCATGAACAAGGAGAACACCTACGGATTATTGATGAAAGGCTGTACTAAGTACATAGATGTTAGGGACCTGGGTGCTACTGTTACTGTCTTACTCCTAACAACATGCCACCCCGTCCTGGTTTGACAGATGGCGGAGGACTACCTGCGAGTTCAGACAGAGCTGGCCCTGCTGCTGCAGCGGAGAGAGGAGCTGGTTAAGGAGCTGGATGCTGATGAGAAGGAGCAGGTGAACAGCGCCAGGCTCATCGAGGAGCACCAGAGCCTCATCAAGGAAAACGTGAGTAGCTCACAGGAGGGGCAGCATCACTATATAGCTTAAAACAACGCTTACTGTTAGATGTACAATAGCCTGGGTGCCATCCTATTTGTATGCCGGGGCTCTCATACTCCCCCCTATTTCTTAGGGGGGAGTATGGGAGCCCCCCTATTTCTTAGGGGGAGTATGGGAGCCCCAGCATACAAATAGGATGGCACCCAGGCCAGATGTACAAAGGTTAGGTGTAACGATTCGCTCAGTGTAATTTAGCCACCTGTTACAGCTACCGATTCTTTGTTGGTTACAGGGTTAGGCAGGAGCAAAAAGTGAAAAAGCTAAGAAGTCCTGAAAGGAAATAGCATTAACTTTGTCTGAACCTACATATTAGTAAGTAAAATGGGATGTTTCAAATGAGAACTTGATTCTGTACCTGAGGCATTGCCAAGAAGTGTGATAATGATGTCTGCCAATATTTTTTCGTGTCTAACAGTAATGGTAAAGAGAAATTTATATTCTGTACATTTGACTGCCTATAAACCAGTTATGAGCAATCCTACAACCTCCTATATCTTAATACAATTATGAAGAAGCAAGTGTGAGGTTTTACGTATGATTGTAAATATCTGACCTGTACTTCGCACAGTGTAGCAAATGTGTACAAGAAACTTCTTCATTCTATTCTATAACAGGAGAGTCTGCAGGCGTTCCACCGGAAGTGTAAGAACCAGCTGGACATGATCCGGGCCCAGCTACAGAAACGACATGCTGCAGCCAAGTAACGGACACAACCCACAGGTTTTACTACTGCTGCAAGTTGTTGGTTCTGTTTGTTTGTTTGTTTGTTCGTTCAGTCACATTCAAAGACGAAGACCTACTAGTAGATACTTATAAGGCTAGAAGTACAAGTTCTGAATCAATCATGTTAATGATCAATCAATGATCCTGCAGTGAAATCTGTATGGCTGCCTGGCAGCTTTGTGAAGCGTCAGGAAAGTTCTTAAACTGCCAGTTTAAACATAAGTAGTAAACAAAACAATGGAGGCAGAGCATCATAGCTGCTGCCCTCAGTATATATTAACTTTCACGGGATGTTGTTGTATGTACACATGTATATGAAGGCTCATGTATCTGGCTGAGATGGCAGTCTGCATAGTTTGTGGGCTCGTTTTTGCTTGTAAATAGATGTATCAGCTGTACTGTCAGCAATATGTAAATATAAAAGATCCTTAGAACTTTGTCTCCCTGAAGAAGAAGATTTAGTATCTTTTAATTGTTTAAAAACACCTCAAGTTTCATCTGATGAAGTTACAGTTTCGTTTTGACACTGACCCAAGGGTTTAGTTTTTATTTTTCTTAAACTATGATATGAAGCAAAACTTTCAACTTTTAGTCTTGAAATCAAGCAATCGAGTTAACTTGATATAATTTAGGTATTTGGGACATTTTAATCAAAACTGAAATGATGTCATATTATCAAATCTGATTCAATATTTCTAAAGTCATAGATCATCTGAGGCATTTGTTGGGCCATGTGTAGCAGCAAGGAATGTGATTTTAACGTCTGGGACAAGTTATCTGGTACAAAATGCACTGCAGTCTTCCTTAACATTGTCACAGCCTTGCATGCATTACTGAATAATGTTTTTAAGATACTGCAGAATAACCTTTGCAGAGCTGCTGATTTTATGACAGTTGCATGAGGTTTAAAATCAAGATGGTTTCATCCTAACTATTTTTTCTGGGGAAAAATTAATTGGCTGATTCTAGGGTTGGAATTATTTGCTTAAAGGTAGCTTGTTTGTAGTTTAGAAAGTTTTTTAAAGTAATTTTTTGTTTTATACTGTTGATGCTTTGTCTAAGCTTGTACATTTGGCACCAAAGAAATGAAGCAACAGTACTTATATAGTTATAAACTGACTGAATCCATCATCCATTCAGAAACTGCCAAAACCACCACTGGAGTGTTTGTACCATACCATATTTAATCCAACAAGTAACACAACAGACACCAAGCTTCACACAGACTAGTCCTGATATTTAAAGATGGTTAAGTGTTCTTTGAAGCATCAAAAATTGTAACTGTAACTATAACTAAGTTATAGCTATACTAAGTAACTGTTGTACACAGTGAATTTGATTGTAAATAAACCTTCGTTGTTGCAATAAATGGTTCCTACATAAATATACTGTATTCCATGTGATACTTGTAACACTTATTTATCTGGCCTCTTGGTATAATCTGAATAATCAAGTCGTAAAATAACCCAATCTAAAAAAATCTGAAGAATCTGAGCATCCTTTACCATACATGAACATTCGATGGATAGTAATTAAGGCCCTCTCCACAAAAATAATATATTGTATTCATAATACAATACACAAATCCAGAGGCATTGACCACTAGCCAATAGACTGTAAGGCAATGTGAAAGTTGATCAAATGAATGAATGTCCCAACATTATTTTTAAGCATAGGCTTTCCATTGGTGAGTCCTGTAATGCAGTAAAAATGTACAGTACATTAACATAGACGTTACCCCATAAGTTGTCACGTACCAGCTAATAACTAATTCATCCACACACCTGATCCCTTCATACATTATAGATTACATGACAATCTGCCACCATAAAAATGTCTGCAATACTACATTGTATAATCGAAGCACACTAATCTTTCCTCCATTTTAAAGACATAGTATACATTTCTAACAAAATAATTTTTCAGCTTTTTCAGAAAATAGTAATATTTCACAGACTACAAATATCAGATGACAACCCCACGACATTAGTGGTCTTCACATACAAAGCCATTGCTGCCGTTGCCCCAACAGTGAATATCATATTTCTTTGTGTCCCAGACTCCTGACTATTGTTCTTGTTTCATTGGTAGCTACATATAAAAGGTTACATTGTTCCACCCTGAATATATCTATACAGGCACATTGTGATGCCATCACTCACACATACATGTATCTATGAGCACATTCAAACTGAGAATCTTGTCTACCCTATCCATACAAATGTACATGTCAGGGCTTAAAATACATTTTTCCATAAAAGCACTCAGGTGCATGTTACATTGAAAATTGCAGGCATCAGACAAGTACAGGAATACCTACACAGCTACAATTTTACCTGCATATGCACCTGTATTTTGAGCCCTATATGTCTGTGATTCTAGCTATTGCTGTTCTGTACTTGTACTAGTTGGTCCCTATACCTTAAAGTCTCTAGTATGAAAACTATTATTACAGGACATGGTTAGTGTTAACGTACATCACTCCCCCAACAAACCAAATACTGGCCACAACCAGAAGTCCCAAAATCCTCTCACGTATGCCCTGGTCCTCTGACCTCTCATTTAGTTTGTCTAGCTGTTTGTCCAGCTCAAGCCTTAGTCCCTTTGACATGATGCTCTCGTCTGCAGCGTCATTCAGTAGAATACCTGCTGACTCATCTGTAGGCTCAAAATCTTCTGTTGAGGATTCCATCATAGCTGCATTTAGGTCCTCTCTGCTTATGTGTGGTTGTACTGGTTGGGAGTCAGTCCCTGGCTCTTCCATACTGTCCCTGTACTGGTCATAGTTGGGCTGGTACACTTCTGACCACCACCTTTGTACTTGGCCAAATACACCTTTAGGAAAGGTTGGTGGGACAACGGAAAATTTGATCAGACTCAGTAGATATACACAATGAGATATGGGTAATACATATCCTTAAAAAAGTTTAACTTTTGAAAGAACACATATTGTGTCTAACTTGTTAGATACTGTGTCTAACTCATATTATTAGGTAGTTATTTCATGCCAACAGTGAATACCATAACCATGTTTTAAACACTTACTTGACTTGGCATCTTTGCCTTGTCCATCTGTTTCCTCTGCAGCTATATCCTGTCGGGCCTTCAACTCTGATGTTTGCAGAAGTTGTTCTTCATGTAGAGCTCTCCCTGACAGCATGCATCGTTCCACTGCCTGTAATTTGATTCTCACGTTGTCCAGAGAGCTGTGCATCTCCTGCATGGCCTGTATTGTGATGTTGGTAGTTTCTCCCTGTTCCTCACCCATTGACCCAGTCCATGGCAATGTTTGCAGTGTTGCTTGAATCATCTCTTTCAGGTCATGAGACAATGCTAAGGCTTGTTCCCACGTCGCATCATCCTTTATCCACTCCTCCATGATCTTTGAACCATCCTCTTGTCTCTCCCCATCTTTGGCCAGAGCAGATTCCAGCTTGACAGTTGTTGAGAGCAGCATTTTCCAGTTGTTTTCGATAACGTGACGTTTACTCTTGATGTCCTTCTCCCTCTTCATGTCTCCTTGTTCACCAGCCTCTGTTGGTACCTGGTGGTAGATGTCCACCAGCTCTGCCAGTGAGGATTGTGTTTGGGTACAGTAGACATCAGCTAACTGGACACTTGCTATGAAGTCTTGCAGCCCCAGTGGCATGGTAGGTGCCTCGTCCTTATCTTTAACACTGGTGGTTCTAAAACCATTACTCCACCACTCAACAATTGTAGTAAATACTCCTGCTTGTCTATCTTCATTTTCTCTGGTCACTTGAGTTGTGAAACCTTCGGACGGTTGACCTGTGCTTGATGTTCCTGCTGCAGGCATGTCTACAGATGTTTCTTGAGAGGAAGATCTTTTATCTGATGAAGATCTTCCTGTGAACCAATCAGAAAGTCTTTGGACCAAACTATGTTGCTTGGAGGTTACCTTACTCTCAGTCACTTTGATTGTTCTTTCTTCATCTGTAGACTCTGTGGAAGATTGTCCATCACTTTCAGGTGCTGTTTCTCTTCTTTCTGAACCTTTCCTCCAATAGAACAATCTACTAAAAATACCTTCTCTTTGTTCTTGAATGGGTTCCTTTGCAGTTGTTGCAGCCACCTTTTTGCTCTTGATGATTTTGGCCTCTTTTTTCCCATGCTTTCTCTTCATCTCTTTCAGCACAATGTCTTCAACGTCAGTGAACAGTTCAGTCACCTCTTCCAGCTTCATCCTGATGCCTTCCATCTCCTCATTGAACATGGTGTCAAATTGTTCCACACTTGAGTCATCTTCCATGTACGTGGACACGCTATACTTGTTGGTGACGTTGAAATGGTCTGTCTGTAGAGTATCAACAATGGAGGAAATCCTATTCAGCTGTTCTGACACTTTGGCGTGGAGAGATTCAGATTCCTCAGCTGTCATTTCTGCTGCCATCATTTCCTCTGGAATGCTGTTTTGTAAGTCAGTGATTAGTTGGTGAACCGTCACAAGTTTTTCGCCCATCTTTGCCAATTCTTGTTGCACATTGCTACAGGATTGAGAAACCTCTTCTGTTCCTTGACCCTGAAGCTTGTGGCTGTCTTCCATGTCGATCTGTATCCGTTTCAATTCCAGGATGTGGACCCATGTGATCTCGAGGTTTGTCAGGAAAGCTCGCATTTGGTCTGATGCTGCAGCTTTGATCCTTTCTCTTGTGTCCTCCTCAGTCCCGTCTGTCTCTTCCTCTTCAGTTCCATCAGATTCAGGTTGTGCTGGGCTGTAGTTGGTTTCCCACCAGTGTTTGAACATCCTAGTGAGGACCCCTGCGCTCTGTGCTCCCTCATGCTTGCCTTCTGGAGGAGCAACACTTTCCTGCTCTTGAACATCAGTGGATGGTTCCTCACAGTACTTCATTACTTCAGGTTCAATGTTGACTACTGTGTCTGCTAACATTTTTAGTTTGGCTTCCATATTTTTCAGTTCTTTGGCTACACTTGTGGCAGTTCCACTCTGCTCTTGCATTCTTTGAATCTCAGTAAACATAGCATTTGTATCTTGAAGACTCACCCTGATTTTCTCAAGATTCTCCTGTACTGTAACAGACTTACCACCTTCTGGCGACAGTGGTTCTTCAATGGGAATCACTGTGCCAATGTCATTGACCAATGCGGCTATTTCCCCCAGCCTGTTTGCGATTAATTGTTGTGTTGCTTCATCTATTTTGTCCCTGTCTTCATCATCTTCACCTGCACCACCATGCACTGTTGGAGCCTCCATTGTAAACCTCTCTTGCAAACAGCCACAGATGTTCCTGAGCTCAAAGAGGTAGATTTTGACGACTTCAATGTTTGATTCAACTTCTCGAGTCAGGGAGACGTCCACTTGTTCATTCTCATCTGGAAGGGCCAACTGTTGTCCTGTCCCCCACCACTGAAAAAGTCTTCCTAAGAGGCCCCTGTGTTCACTTGGTTCTGGTTCAACCTCTTGGTGATCAGTTTTTGCAGACAAATCTTCAACAACGTCATCTTTGTCAGCAGTTTTACCAGCTGAACTACCAGGGTCTTGTGTTGTACTCTGAGCATCGGTGGTGTCGACATCTTTCTGTGTTACTCCCTGGCTGTCATCCTTGCCTGAGAAAGTTGATTCAATCTCAGAAAGTTCCTCTCTGCCTGGAAAGGTAACATGATCTGGATTGTAACCTCTACTCCACCATCGGAATAATCTCCTTAACATTCCTGTTTTTTCCTTTCCTTCAGACAAGGTGGCATGCTGTCTTTCATCTTGTTCCTGAATCATGGTGGGAATCTCTGTTGATTGTGCTCTGCTGTCTTTGGCATCTGTGGTGTCACTAGTCCACCACCAGGAAGAGTGCCTGGTTGTTTGTGCATCTGCAGCATATTTTTCAGATTCCGCAACGTCAGTATCTTTTGGTTCTTGTACCTTGCAGCCCTGAGTCAAAGCCTCTGCCATGAGCAGTAACTGCCCTGCCTTGTCAAGCTTCTGTGTCATAATGTTCATCTCCTGGCGCAGTTGTACGTCAACAGAGATGGCCGATGTGTCCGTGGTACCATCTTGGTTTGCTTCTGTATCACTGCTGAGTCGTAGTTGGTATAACTCATCAACACGGCACCTCAACTCTTTACACTCCGTCATAATAGAAGCAACATCCTGTAGATGTAGCTTGACTTCTGGCTGTTTCTCCATACCTACATCTTCAGTGTCACCATCTTGTATTTTTTGCTTGATCTCCTCAAGAAGGACCACAACCTTTTTATTTGTTTTCTCCATGTGTTCCATTTGTGTCCTGATGACTGTCTCCACTTCTTGAATCTGTTCCTCCGTGATTCCATCCCCAAGTCTGTCACTGTAGGCATCTTCAAAACATGTCTGAGTTTGTTTCATGTCTTCAATGTAGGCCCATATCATCTGCATGTTTGCTACGAGTGTTCCTGTTTCATTTGGAATGTATGTTTCTGCTGCCTTTTTGTCCTCATCCACTGTTTGTCTCCACCAAATGAGACGGCCAAAAATTCCAGGAGTTTCTTTGCTCTCTTGTGACCTCTCTACTTCTGTTTTTGCATCCTCCCTCCCAGTGAGATCTTGCAGGAAAGATGACAGCTTCTCAGTGATTTTGGTTGTGTTGGATTCAATGCTTCCCAGTTCCTTGCTTATCCTTGTGGCTAGATATACACATGCCTCAGACCCGTCATCTGCCACTGTGCTTTCCCTCAGTCTCCGGTCATACAATTCTGTTATCTTCACTTGTGATTCCCTCATGTCCTCACAGTAGGTCAAAACTTCCAACAACAACTTGTCCTCGTCTGAAGTTGAAGCAGTTAGGGGAGATCCTTGTTCTGCCTTTGTATCTGTATCAGCTGTTGTTTTCTTGTAAAGAAGCCCAGCCAGTTCTGTGATCTTGGACTCAATCGTTCCCAACTCCCTACGAATGATCTGGCCAGTCTCTTGTGTCCTCACTTCGCTTGTGCCCTCTTTGAACCGTTCCTGATAGTTATCTAGAACTTTACTTCGTGCCTCGTTTATCTCTTGACAACAGACCAGAGCTCTTTGCACGTCAGCAACTGGGTCCTTGTCCCTTTCGTCAGTGTCTGCTGTTTCTTCAGAGGTGTCAGATATCTCAGCAAGTAATTGCTCTGGAGGATCGTCAGTGTCTCTTTCTGCCCATCCAAACAGTCTGCTAAGAAACCCTCTACCTTCTTCCTGGGGTTCTTTTGTCTCCATCTCATCCACCACACATGCTTTAGTTGTCTTGACCGACTCGCAATGTTCAATTGCTTTGGGTTCAATATCAGTCAGCATTTTGCCAACAGTAGTTAGTGCTATATCCAGCTCTTTTACTAGCTGAGAAACTGCAGTAGCTTGCTCACCGTGTTCTTCTGTAGTAGATGTTTCTGCACTGGTCAGGCTAAGTAGCTTTGTTTCACATGACTTAATCTCTTGTATCTGAACTAAAAGTTTGTCAAAGCCATCTACAATGTCTTGCCTTTCTTCCTCAAAGTCAGTATTATTGTCTGTTTGCTTGCTATCCTTCAGCTGTCCATTCTGTACATGCTCACTCATCATGATAACTCTCTTTTTCATTTCATTAACATGTTCTGTTAAATCTGATATCCTCTGGCCAATCCCTGCAATGTTTTGTTGCATGCTTTCATCATCCAGTGCCACTTCTTCAGTATGACCTGGGCCTTCATCCTCTGTGGTAGCAATGGCTTGTCCTTGGAACCCAGCACACATTTTCCTCAGCTCCAGCACAACAGATGTAGCAGCTTTTGCACTGTTCTTTATTGCCTCAGCGGTAGTCTGCATGTCATTTTCTTCCTCTTCAAGGGAGGCAGGAGCTAGATTTATGAGTTCATCATCATCAGGAAAGGTTACATGGTCTGGGTTGTATCCACTGCTATACCAGCGGAAAAGCCGTCTGAATGGTCCTGGACCTGTACTTTGTGAGTCGTTCTCACCTTCTTGGTCTTCATTGTCTGCTTTTCTGTCAATGTCAGGATTACCCTCGACTTCACTGGGTCCGTCCACAGAGGCCTGTGTGCTTGGTTCTGTTGTTACTTGGCTGTTCCACCATCCATGAAACCAGCTCGGTTTAACATCCTCTTCCTGCACTTCTGATGTAGAAATGTCTGTTGCACCATCAGGAGTTTCATGATCTGTTTCTTCTGCAACAGTTGTTACCTGGTTACTCCACCATCCACGAAACCAGCTCGGTTTAACATCCACTTGCTTTGTTTCTGATGTAGAAATGTCTGTTGTGCCATCAGTGGTTTCTTCATCTTTTTCATCTGTGAGTCTGTAGCCAAGCGCCAGTCTCTCGGCTGCTGTGACAAGCCGTTCTGCCTGACTGAGTTTTAGGGACACATTTTGTAGCTCCTGTTGCATCTTTGCATCAGTTAAGGCTGTTGTACTTCCTTCCTTGCTATCATGAGGCTCTTCGTCTCCACCCACCTGTTTGTGGTACATCTCTGAGATTTGGATGTTTGTATCTTTTACTTCCTGTATGAGTGATGCGACCTTCTGAAGCATGCTGTTTGCTTGGACCTGCTGTGTTGCATTGGTGCCGCTGTCTAGTTCCACATTAAAGCTTCCCTGAATTTCTTGTACCACTGATAGTACACTTTCTACTTTAGCATCCAGGCCTTCCCTGTGTACTTGGATGGCTTTGTCCACTTCTTCGCATTGTTCCTCTGTGATGCCATCCCCAAACCTGTCACTGTAGGCGTCATTAAGACGAGTCTGAATCTCCTTCATTTCGGTGATGTCAACCCACAAACTCTGCATGTTGGCTATCAGAGTCATTCTCTCTTTTGGCATGGCTGGGCCATCACCCTCCTCCTCTTCTTCTTTTCTCCTCCAGAAGACACCAACTGGTCCCCATCCAAAAAGCCTGCTTAGAGCACCTCCACTTTCCTCCTGATCTGTTGTAGGCACTGTCTCATCCACAGTACTTTGTTTGGCAGTCTTGATAGACTCACAGTGTGCAAGTGCTTTAGGCTCAATCTCAGCAAGAGTCTCACCAACATCACATATCTTTATGTTCAGCTCTGTCATAACCTGAAAGATTCTTGTAGTTGGTTCCTGGTGTTCTTCCTCAACAGGGTTTTCTGCACTGGATAAGGTTTGAAGCTCTGTTTTACATGATGTTAGTTCTTCCATTTGAACTAGAAGTTTATCAAAGCTAACAATGAATTTCTGACTTTCCTCCTCAACGCCTATATTTCCCTTTTCGGTTTGTTCATCACTTGTTAGTTCTGTGTCCTCTTTGTCCTTGCTGATGTCATACTGTGTTACAAGTCTAATTTCGTTGACATATTCTGTTAGATCTGTAATCTTTTGGCCAATCACAGTGATGTTTTGTTGCATGCCTTCATCATCCAACTCGACTTCTTCATTCTGCTCTGGGCCTTTCTCCTCTGTAGTAGCCATGGCCTGTCCTTGGTACTTGGCACATACTTCCTTTAGGCCTAGAACAGCAGACATAGCAGCTTTAGTGCTGGCCTTAATTGTGTCAGCTATGCTCTCTTCACCTGTTGCATCCACTTCAGGGTGGCTTGTAGTTAGGTCTTCAAGCTCTTCTTTCTCAGGAAATGTCACCTGGTCTGGCTTGTACCCACTACTATACCAGCGCAGCAGTCGTCTGAAAGCTCCTGTACTCTGTTGCGTATTTTCACTTGCTGTGTCTTCATCGTCTTCATTTGTGTTTACATCATCTTCTTCAATGACTTCCCTTGGTGCTTCCACAGGAGACTTTGTACTAGGTGTGGTTGATGCTTTGTGACTCCACCAGCCCCCAAACCAGCTTCGGGATTCTTCCTTCTCAGCTTCTGTTGAGGCAATGTCTGTTTGAGTGTCAAGGGTTTCATCTTCTCTGCTGTCTGTTTCATCAGGAAGTGCCAGTCCCTCTGTTGTTGTTTCAGGTATTGTCTGTACATCTTCTGCTGGCACATCAGAGTTGTCTGTAGCTAGGTTCTCAAGCTCATCTTTTTCAGGAAACATCACATGATCTGGATTGTAGCCACTGCTATACCAGCGGAAGAGACGTCTTAGGGGTCCTGCACTCTGGGTCTTTTCCTCACTTACTGTATCTAGCGCACCTTCAGCAGCATCGTCATCTGTACCGTCTGTTTCGTCTGCAAGTTTGTGACCAAGCGCCAGTCCCTCAGCTGCTGTAACCAGCCGTTCTGTCTGGGTGAGTTTTCTTGATACGTTTTGTAGCACCTGTTGCATCTTTGCATCAATGAAGGCTTTGCTATCTTCATCTTTTCCATCTCCTTCTTCTTCAGTAGCCTGTTTCTTGTACATCTCTGAAACTTGGATGTTTTTATTTCTTACCTCCTGTATCAGCGATGCTACCTTCTGTAGTTTGCTGTTTGCTGTAACCTGCTGGGCTTCATCTTCACCATTTTCTTGTTCTACAAGACTTTCTTCAATTTCTTGGACCACTGCCAGTGCTTTCTCTACTTTAGCATCCATGTTATCCTTGTGTTCTTGGATGGCTTTGTCCACTTCTTCGCATTGTTCCTCTGTGATGCCATCCCCAAACCTGTCACTGTAGGCATCTTGAAGGTATGTCTGCGTTTCTTTAATTTCTGTGACGTAAACCCACAGAATCTGCATATTTGCTATCAAAATCATTGTTTCCTCTGGCATAACAGTATCATCTTCATCATCTTCATCTTGTCTTCTCCACCAGAAAAGGCGACTGATGATTCCTGGATGTTGAACTCCAACCTTTGGTAATGAATCTGTTGTGTCATCAAGTTGTGCTACCTTGAGTTCTTCCAACACTTCCGAAAGTTGTTGGATGGTACTCCCAGTGTTTGCTTCTACACCTGCCATCTCTTTTTCCATCTGAGCATCCAGAAAAATGCATGACGGTGCACCCAATTCGCCTCTCTCCCCCTCCCTCACTCTCTTTTGGTACACTTTGATTAATGTACCCTGCCTAGCCTTTAATTCCAGCAAAGTGCCGCTGACTTGAGACAACTTCTCCCATCCTGCATCCGTCAGACCTAGCAAAGTGGCACTGTCTTCATTTGCCGCGGTTGCTTCTGTTGACTGAGCTGCATTTGGTTGGTCGGGAATGAGATGCCAGATCACCTGGATTTGTGATCCCATGTTCTTCATTTCTCGTTGCAGAACCTGATCAACCTCTTCACTTCGTACATTGTCAGTGTCGTCCCGGAATCGTTCTGTGTATAGCTCTCCAATTGTTTTTTGCAGCTCATCCAACTCTGTGATGTGTGTTATTGCCTTTTGAACGTTGATGGCGAGGTCTTCTGCACTACTTACTTGGTTGTCCTTTTCATCAGGGAGTGTTGTTTCAAGTTGACTCAAGTCCCCAATATCTATTGAGTTAGCACTGGATGCCTGTTCTTCTGAGGCAATATTTTCACTTCTGGCAAGGATTTCAGGTAACATCTCTAGCTTTGTCTGGATTTTTCTCATGTTCTGTTGTACCATCTCTTGTGTTAATGCCACATCCTCATCTTGGCCATCAACCAGTGAGGGCACTTGAACATAGTCTATTGTCTCACAGCATAGCTCATGAACTTCTTTCAGCACTGTAGAAGTTCTGGTTATGCGTTTCTCCTGTTCCTCCTTGTTGCTGTCTTGCTGATTTCCTTCGGCAGGTTCAGTTGGAATGCCAGTCTCTATGTCTGCTAACAAGGATAAGGTTCTGTCTACCTTCTCTTTAATTGCATTCATCCCTTCCTCCACTTTGTCAGCTGTTTTTTCCTCTGATTCTTGAGAACTGTAATCATCTATTGTATCCTTGCAGATGGTATCCATTTCACGGATGTGGCTTGTGATGATCTGCATGTTTGCAATAAAAGCTGTAGCCTCTGGGGACACCACTGGTCCTGTTGGTGCCGAGTTATCAATAGTGTCCTCTTCACCATGGTCATCTATGTCTGTTGCCTCTTCGCTTGTGGTTTCTTGGATGTCATCTGGATCATCTGAGATTTGTTGTGTCCCAGGTGCACTTTCTGTTGCAAATAACCGACTGAAGAATCCTGAATCTGTTTCTGCTGTAAGTTGGCTGATGGCCTGCACTTCCATCTTCCGTACCATCTTTGCCATCCGACAGAGTCTGTTTCCCATCCTCTCAATTTTCCTCTGTATTTTTGCATCAACATGTGCTGTGTCCCTGCCCCTCTCGGTGTCTGCCTCTTGTTTTCTCTTCAAGTCGGCTAAGTTCTTGTTCATCTTTTGGAACTTAGCCATCAGTGCTAAAAAATGCTGCTGTTCCATGTTAGATATCTTGGTTGTAGACCTGACTAAGGAAGTGATGCTGTCCAACTTACGGTCCATTTCTACTGTTTTCTCCTGGATTTTCTTGCTTGTGCTCCTGTCTGTTTCTCCAGGTGCATCTTCGTTTTTTACCTCCAAAATGTCCCGATAGATGTTCTGCATATCTTCCATGTAAATCCACATGATCTGCATGTTGGCGATGGTTTCTTTTGCCTCATCTGACAGGTCAGGAACAGTTTCATCCTCTACAGTTTCATCCCTTTCAGTTCCAGAGATGTCTACATTGTCGCCTGCATCTTCTGGTACTGAAATGTTTGGTATGTATGAATCTTTGCCTGGGCCTCTGTGCCACCATGAGGATAGTCCACCGAGGATACTCCATGGTCTGCCCTCTCCTGGGGGGCTCTCTGTTTTGTCATCTTTCAAATTGGCCAATTCTTCCTCTATTGTAGTGACAGACTTAAGTGCAGCATCTACCTTGTCACCCATACTTTCCAAGTCTCTTGAGATGTCTGCCTCAATCTTGATGGATTCATCTAGACTGCCGTCTTCAGTCCCGAGTTGTTTATATGAGCTTTCTATGTCATTCTGCATTTTCTTCAAGTTTTCCACACATATAGATACCTCTTGAAGTTTTCCATACACTTCCTTTCTTTCACCTTTGTTGGCTGAACTGTCAGTTTTAGATGCTGTTTGCCCATCTTCCTCCACATCTAAAGATGTTTGTAACACAGCCAGTACTGTTGTCACTTCCTCTAGTTTCTCTCTCATCTTCTCACCTGTGGTTTGCAAGTCAATGTCAGGTGTGTCCACTTTTTCACTGCTTCTCTTCATTTCTCTGCTGTAAGTATCTGCCATGTCTGTCCTTATCCTGCAGAGTTCTTCAATAAGAACTTTGATGGTTTGTATATTCTGTAGATGCCCAGCTGGTGTAGCTCTGGAAGAGTCCTTTAGGTCTGAGCGAGTGGCATCTGTAGTCTGCTGCTCACTTATAGTTCCTAGTTTTGCTTGTGATGGTCCTGATGAACTGACAACATGCCAATCTGTGGTACCAGTACCTCTTGTGTCTACAGAACCACCAGTGCCATGTTTTTCTGTCTTATACCTTACTACCTTGTCTTCAGGAGCAAGGATGTCATCAAGTGAGGGTTCTCTGACTGATACGTTTTGCATTGGACTTGTTCCTCCAACAACCAAAGTACTGGATTTTGGATCTCCAGGTGGTATCTCCTTGGTCAAGGATGATGTTTTGTCTGAGGGACCTCGCCACCAATCTCTTATCCCATCAAAGAAGCCTCTGGTAGATGTTTCGTCGTCCTGTCGGCTTTTGTGGTCCCCTGGTCGCTCCTCATCATCTGCTTGTTCGTTGTCTTTGAGAATAAGAACCTCCGTCTGCTGCATTGTCGTAACTGCAGTTACTGCAGTGCTGAGCTTGATTTTCAGCCTTTCAACAATGCTATGGATTTGGCTGCTTTTATCGGGGTCACCACTGTTGCGACTGCACAGGTTTGCCACTTCCTCTCGGATCACTTCTATTTCTTCGCTACTTGTAGACAACTGCTGCAGATTTGCCACGAGATCCTCTTTTTGAGCCTTGCTGAAATCTTGGCCTTCAGTGTCACAATCTTCACCACTGTTTGATTCATGAGACACAGACGAACGCAAAACAGCAAGCACTGTGGTCATCTCTTCTAGATTCTCTTTCATCTCTTCTGTCATCTCCATTATTGCAGAGTCTGCATCACTGTCTGGATTGTCACCTTTGCTTAAGCTCTGCCAGATACGTATTTGGATTTTCTGGAGATTTTCAATGAGAAGTTTAATGGATTGTGTGTTCTTGATAACTTGTTTGGTCTCTTCTGTAACAGCAGCTACTCCAAGTTGTTGTTTTATCATAGTGTCAACATTGGTGTCAGATGCTTCCTGTGATGGTACAGTTAAGGTGGTGTCCTGGTCAGCTGTGTTGTCTGCTTGTGATAACAATGAGGACCTATCATCTGTTTTGACTTTTTCTCCATGTTCAAATGATCCTGTGTCGTTGGCATCATCTTTTCCACCTTGACTGTCATCTGTCTTTTGCTTGGTGGAGGGCGTTGGCCCAAATAAAGATCCAACATTTTGCTGGAACCAGCTAACTCCAGACTTCTCAGATGAGCCTTTCTTTACACCTTTTGTATCCCTGATCATGTTAGAAGCAGACATTCCATCACTTGTCTCAGAGACAGGCATGTCCTGTCCTTGATCACCTATGGAGTCATCCTGAACTCCTTTATTGACCTTTCCTTCTTTCCCTGGAATGATGGCTGTGCTGCTTGTACTGGCTTGTTCGGTTACTTTTTCATGACTGGAACTGATGTCTTCTTGTGTTATTCCTGTACCTTGACGGTCAGATGTTTCCTGCACTCCTTCCATCCTGTTTGCATGCTGACCTCCAGACTCTGAGGCACTTGTTTGTTCTCTTCTGGCATTGTTAGCCTGTATGTCTTCCGTATTTTCAGCATCATGGTGATCGGAACCAGTTTGCATTTCAACAATGCCATCTGGACCCTGACTGACAGACGAACCATCTTGTCCTCCTTGTCTTCCTTTGCTCTCCATGATTTGTCTCCTTTGTCTGCTCTCTTCAATGGTGGACATTCCTTTGTCATCCTCTTGGTACGTAAGTCGCTTTCTACTGGCAACATGAGCCCCTTTAGTCGGTGTGACTTCTCCATCGGTTGTATCAAGGCGGGTAGTCTTCACCACAGTTGAGCTTGTTGTCTCACCTGAACTCCCAGTAGCTTCTTTTCTGTCATCCAACCCTACTACTGAGACTCTGAGAACCTCAATACTGTCCTGACTGTCATCACTTTCCACTATAACATTTTCCGTTGAGACAATAGTCGCCAATATTTCGTTTGTTTTAGATTTCTGAGTTCCAGATGTTTGGGTGGGGGTTCTGCCTATGAGATCTCTGTCGCTATCCGAGGTGCTTCGAGCACTATCCTCTGCTGTGGTATAGTTGTCCGTCGAAGCACCCTGTGATGATGCACCATCAATGTCGTCAGTATCAGATGCCCTGTCAACTCTCTGTCTCATGCCTGATCCCCTGTACCCAGTTCCAGGGCCAAACTCAAACCTCGTGGAGCCTCCTCCAGCTTCCAGCAACTTCCTACTGCTTGGAGACAACATAGGAGAAAGGTTGCCCACAGATGGAGAGGTATCCCCAAATAACAGTTCTCTCACTTCCCTCTTCAGGAACTCCACGCTCATGAGCTCATCTCTCATTTCTGCGTTTTGCTTAGCAAGCTCTCGAAGCATGTCTTCATTGCCCTTTGCCTGGTTTTCTAACAGTGTTGCTCTTTCTTCGAGACTTGTTTTTACAGAAAGAAGGGTGTCCACTGTGTCCCTTGCTTCCGCCAATTGATGGTCTAGGGTTTCATACTGAAGCAGTCGAGATTTTACCTTCTCCAACTCGTCATTAAGGTCTTCCTCCTCTTCCCTAATTGAGCCAGGTTCTGCTCCAATACCCACTTCTATGCCAGTGGATTCGATGGTGCCTTTTTTGTCTCGACGCAAGTCATCCACTTCTGTTTGCACCATGTATAACTGCTGCTGAAGGGCTACCACGTTGGTTGCTTCCATGGACAACTGTTCCTTTTCTTCCTCCAGTTGCTTCATTGCAACACTGGTGCTGTGCAGTTGCTCCATCAGAACAGTGACTTTTTCTGTGTCAGATAGAGTACTGAGGTAAGTTTCGTCGACAACTAGTAACTCGTATCTGCCTACATTTGGAGCCAGACCTGACGCTTCAGCCTCACTTGAACTTGAAGATGGTTGGGCTCTTGCGTTGCTAGCAGTTTTGGTTAGCTGGGGGAGATCAGACTCTTCCATCCTATCATCTCTATTTCCCAGTGCCATTGTCTTAGTCTGTGTCCTTGTTTCCATAGAGCCCGTGTGCTCTACCGACTGTACAGTTTTTTCTCTTGTCACCTCACGTTTTTCCATTAAAGTTGCTTCCTGCTTTTCAGACTTCCCTCTCATCTCATCATGTTGTAACCGCAATTCATTCACCTCCTGGAGATCAGCTGCCATCTTGACATGCAACTCGTTTAGACGGTCAATTTCTTTTCTTGCAGCCTGAAGTTCTGCTTTTAGAGATTTAACTGTTTCCTTGTCCTTCTTCAGTTTGCCTGCCCGTCTTCTTGCCACCCCAGGTTCAGTTTGGATGTCCTTTGCATTGCTGGATTTCTCGTTTGGCGAAACAGACCTTTCAATTCTAACAGCTTCATCACTGGCATCATCATCTTCTTCCTCCTCTGTGGAGCTAAGCCCTTCTTTCTTTGCGAGTTTGCTCTCCTTGGAATTCCCAGTTTCCTCTGACCGTATTCTCTGGCCTGGTGCTTCTTTCTTTCTTCTGAGTTTGACCGCACGTTTTCTAGCAACACCAGGGTCTGTTTGTATCTCCTTTGCGTCCACCCTCTCTGGTGTACCATGCTGCAGTGATTCTTCACTTAACAAAGGTTTTGTAGAGACAAATCTTTCAATGTTGCCATCGTCACTACCACCATTATCATCTTCTTCGCTTTCTTTGGAGCTGTGTCTCTCTTTCTTTGAGACTTTGCTCTTTGTTTTTTCTGACCGTATTCTCTTGCCTTCTGCTCCTTTCTCCCTCCTGAGTTTTGCTGCCCGTTTTCTAGCGACACCAGGGTCTGTCTGTATTTCCCTTGCTTCCACTCTCTCTGATAACTTGCTGTCTGATCCATGCCGCTGTGCCTCTTCAGTTGTTATAGAAACAAACCTTTCAATATTGCCATTGCCAACACCATCATCATCACCATCATCTTCTCCTGAGCTGTGTCTTTCTTTCCTGGTTTCTTCAGACTGTACATTTTGTCCCATTGGTATCCCCTCTCGTCTGAGTTTAGCAGCACGCTTTCGAGCAACTCCAGGATCGGTCTGTATCTCCTTTGCTTCCACGCTCTCCGAAGTACTGCTATCTGGTCCTTGCCACTGTGTTTTTTCTCCCCCTGTCGAAATGCCTGTATTTTGGGTGCTAACCTCTGCTTGTAGCTGCATCTTTTCCTTCTCCAACAATTGTATTCTTTCCTTTAACTCCTGAACTTCTGTTTGGATGTCATTTACTTCGGTCGTGATTAGAATGGTTGGAGCAATTCCTGGTGAAACAGACGCTTCACCATTTGTACGTTTTCCACTATCCTTTTCTTGAGGGCTCTTCATGTCTCCCTTTTGGGCTCGTTGTTCCTTTTCAGGTTGTTCCACCTGGTTTTCCTGCCTATGAGTCACTTGCGCTAGTTGTTTATTTTCATGACTTCTATCACCTCTCGTGCCTGTCTGCGTGACCCCAGTGTCACTTTTACCTGTTGAAACACTCTTGTTTGATTCCTGTTTCTGACTGTCACCCGAAATGTTCGTCTCTTGTTGGTGAGCCATCCTTATTTCGTCCTTCAAATGCCTCCTTTCTTCCTCCAATGCTTGTATCCTTTCCATTGCCTTAGACAGTTCTGTTTCGATCCCCTCAAACTCTCCTGTAGTAATCACCACATTTGTTGAGATGCTTGTTGAAGAGACGGATGTTTGATTGTTTTCATCGTCGTTATTACGTTCTTCCTTTAGGCGTTGAATTTCCTCTTTCGCGGCTTCAAGATCTTTCACCAGCTTTTCGGACTGCCTTTTTTGCTCGACATGTACCTCTCTCTCCCTTTTTAGTCTGTCTGCACGTTTCTTAGCTACTCCCGAGTCTGTCTGTATATCCTTTGCTTCGACCTTCTCTGTAGTACTGCTCTTCTCTACTCGAAGCTGGTGTGACTCTTCTCTAGCGACTGAAAGCTCCCTCTCTAGAATGGTTACCTCCTTCGCTTCCTCTTCTAGCAGTTTCTTTTCTTCTTCCAATGTTTGTATCCTCTCCAAAGCACCCTGCAGTTCTGACTGAACGGTGAAGAAGTTCTGTAGTTCCGTAGTTAGCGACGTTTTTGCTTCTTCGAGTTGTGCTTTCAACTCTGTAGCGTCTTCAGACTTTTTCTCGTCCTCTAGCTGTTCTATTTGACTGCGGGCGCCATCTAGCTGTTTTTGTGAGGCAGCAAAACGCTTATACATCTCTTCCTTCTCCTCTTGAAGGACGTTGACCTCCATTCTCGTCTTCTCCAAGGCGCTAGTAAGTTCCTTACTCTTCTGTTCCTGCTCTGACGTCATCTCCTGACTTTCTCGAAGCTCTTTGATGACGTTTCGGGCTATGGCTATCTCCTTTTTTAAGCCTTCCATTTCGTTAAGTTGGTTACAGAAAACTTCTTTTTCCTTCCGCAGTTCCTCAAGTGCTCTGTCCCTATCTTCACATTCCTGGTTGATGGCGGCAAACTTCTTTTGCATCTCCGTAAGTTCCTGCTCGGACCTCTTTAAGTCCTGTATCTTCTCTTTAAGGGTGGTTACCTCTGTTTCCAACAAGGAGGTATTGGCGACTTCTTCTTCTCTTTTAGCAAGCTGTACCTGATAGACCTCTCTTTCTTGTATAAACTGTTCCTTTTCAGTGCGAATTTTGTCCAGTTCTTTCTCTGTGGCTTGGAGGTCCCGCTTCACTTCCTCGGCCTTTTCCAGACGAGACGTCAGTTCCCCAATCTCGGTCTCAAGTGCGACGACGCGTTCATTGTGTTTCTTCTCCTTCTCAGCGCCCAGAGTCGTATTCTGATTTTGTAGTTTCTGATTTTCTATCTGTAAATCTTCCACAAGATCAACCTTTTTGGTCAAATCACCCTGAATTTTGTCAAAAAGCTCCGCCTGTACCGTAAACTTCTCCTGGAGACTCTGTATCTGTTTCCTTGCTACATTCAGATCTTCGCTCTGTTTCTGAAGCTTGTCCTGTTCCTTCAGAAGTCGTTTGTTTTCCTCACTCAACACTTCCAATTGATCTTGCGCTTCTAGTAGGTCCTTTGCCTTCTGTTTCTGTTCTGCCGTCAGCAGGGTCTCTTTCTCAGCTTCAAGGGTCTTGATGTGAAGACGGGCCTCTTCTAGCTCCTTCGCCGACGTCGTGCATTTTGCTTCCAGGGCGTCCTTTTCTGTTATCAAGGTGTCCATGTTTTCCTTGGATATCTCTAGATCTTTCACCAGTCTGGCAGATTCTTCCTTGTGCTTAGACTCCGCCTGCTCGTCGCCTTCTCTAAGCTGTTGAATCACAGAGCGTGCCACGGTGATCTCTTTCTTCAAGTCGCTTATGTCGGCTACTTGGGTTTCCAGCTCCGCATTCTTAACTTGCAAAACGTCAAGTTCTTTCTTCGTGAACTCAAACTGCTGCTTTGTTGTTGCGAGTGCTGTACTCTTTGCATCCAAATCTTGAACCTGACCTTGTAGCATCTGTATTTTCTGTTGTGCTGCTTCTAGCTCTTTTGTACGATCCTCAGCATCTTTAACTTTTTCTTGCATCGTCTGTATTTTCTCTTGGGCTGCTTCAAGGTCTTTTGTACGACTCTCGGTTTCTTTAACTTGCCCTTGTAGCGCCTTTATTTTCTTTTGTGCCGCTTTAAGTTCTTTTGTACGACTCTCAGCGTCTTGCACCTGTTGTTGCAGTGCCGTTATTTTCTCTTGTGCTGCTTCAAGCTCTTTTGCACGACTCTCAGCATCTCCTATCTGTCCTTGTAACGTCTGTATTTTCTCTTGGGCTGCTTCAAGGTCTTTTGCACGACTCTCAGCGTCTTGAACCTTTAATTGCAGCTTCTGTATTTGCTCTTGGGCTGCTTCGAGCTCTTTTGTTTGGCTCTCAGCGTCTTGGACTTGTCCTTGTAGTGCCTGCATTTTCTCTTGTGCTGCTTCAAACTCTTGTGCACGACTCTCAGCATCTTCTATTTTTCCTTGTAACGTCTGTATTTTCTCCTGTGCTGCTTCAAGCTCATTTGTACGACCCTCAACGTCTTTAACTTGTCCCTGTAGCGTCTGTATTTTCTCTTGTGCGGCCTCGAACTCTTTTGTACGACTTTCAGCATCATTGACTTTTCCTTGTAACGTCTGTATTTTCTCTTGTGCGGCCTCGAGCTCTTTTGCACGACTCTCAGCGTCTTCTATCTGTCCCTGTAACGTCTGTATTTTCTGTTGTGCTGCTTCAAGCTCCTTTGTTCGACTCTCAGCGTCTTGAACTTGTCCTTGTAGCGTCTGTATTTTCTCTTGTGCGGCCTCAAACTCTTTTGTACGACTTTCAGCATCATTGACTTTTCCTTGTAACGTCTGTATTTTCTCTTGTGCGGGCTCGAGCTCTTTTGCACGACTCTCAGCATCTTCTATCTGTCCCTGTAACGTCTGTATTTTCTGTTGTGCTGCTTCAAGGTCTTTTGTGCGACTCTTAGTGTCTTCAACTTGAACCTGTAGCGTCTGTATTTTCTCTTGTGCTGATTCGAGCTCTTTTGTGCGACTCTCAGCGTCTTGAACTTGGCCCTGAAGAATCTGTATTTTCTCTTGGGCTGCTTCAAGCTCCTTTGTTCGACTATCAGCGTCCTCTACCTGTCCTTTTAGGGTCTCTATTTTCCCTTGTTGTGCCTCAAGCTGCTTTGCACGACTCTCGGCTTCTTGAAGAAGGGTGGCCTTCTCTGACGTAACCGCTGTAAGATTCTCTCGCGCCTCCTTGAGTGCTGTCTCCAGATCTCTCTCCATCATATCGGCGTCCTTGACTTGCTTTGCGAGAAGGGCTAGCGTCTCTTGCAAGACCTGTATCTTTTCCTTTGCTTCTCTTACTTCCTCCTTATGTCTATTGTACGCCGCCTGGTCCGCCAGTAGACTTTCTCTCTCATGTCTCGCTGCATCAAGGCTTTCTTTCACTTCTTGTAGCTCTTTCTCAGTTTCTTCTTGTTTCTTCAGATCAACATTCAGTTTTTCCACTTGTTGTTCGAGTAGTTGCACTTTCATAAAGTCCCTGGCTGTCTCGTCCACCTTCAGATTCAGTGCCTCCCGCTCACTCTCCAGCCTGGCGTTGTCTTTCTGTAGAGCCTCTACTTGCTCAAGGGTCTCCACCAGCATTATTTCCGACTTCTTGGACACTTCAAGCTGTGCCTTCAAGGTTTCTACCTCTTGACGCATGGCAGAAGATTTTGATGCCTCTCCTTTAAGTCGAGTCTTCTCATCCTCAAACTTGTACTTCTGCTGTCTAGCGGCGTCAAGCGCCAACCTTACGGAAGCCAAGACCTTCTCTGTGTCGTCCAGTTCGTCAGCCTTCTCCTTCAACTGCGCTTGTAGGCTACTTATCCCTTCTGTCAGCTCCCGTAACGCACCGTCGCCTCCGAGGGCAATGACCTCCCGTGACCTCTCGACCTGTTGTGCGTAGTTGTCTTTCTCTGTGGTCAGTCGTTCGATCTCAGATCTTAAGTAGGCGACCTCCTCTTGGATTTTTCGCGTCTCTGACTCTGCGTCAGCGGAGTTTTCCACTTGCGCAGCGAGTGTGGAGTTTTCCTCCTTAAGCCTGTCCAGTTGGACTTGCAGGCCAACCACCTGTTGCTCGTACTGCGCATGCGTAAATGAATTGCCCTGCACTAGGTTGTTCTCAGTATTTGACTGCCTTGCGTCATCTAGTTGACTCTGTAGGGTATTAGGTTTCGCCACTTGTATTGTCAATGGTGCGTTTGAATCTTGGAACAGTGCCAACCTAGCTTCAGGTTCAAGTTGTTCTAGTGCCCTCTTGTTTCCTTCTGTTTTCTGAAGCCCCTGTGTCTGCCCTCCAATAATATCACCGTAATGTACCTTAGATGGGCTGAGAATTTGTACTTCTTCAACTTTGACTTTGAGAGTTTTATTCTCAGTGATCAGGTGTGTGACCGTTGTCAGGAGCTCTTCTTTACTGTAATTTTGCAGAGTATGTATGTCCACTTCCCCCAAAGCTTCTTGCCCCATGGCAATCATTACAAAACTATCCTCCCCTTCTTCAGAATCAGGGTCTGTTTTTGGTTCGCCTAAAGATTCCAGCCTACTCTTCAATAGCCTATTTTCGTCTTCAAGCGAGTGGACTTTTTGTAGTAGGATTTCTTGGCCCAGCTCGACAGATGTCACTGTGCCATCATCTGTTGTGCTATCTCTGTGTTGGGCTGTGTGGGACGTTTCGCTATCTACGCTTGTTGTCTGTGTGCTCGACCTGAATATCTTAACAGTTTGGCCTTCTTTTGTGACAGTGTCAACGACCTCCTCGCTTCGAATTCCTGTCTGAGTCAATGTTTGTAGTACAGATCCATGTCTCTCGCCCGAGCTCCCACAGTTCGGGCACTGCAGCGCGTGCGAATGGGACGTGATTCGCCCTCCCCCTCCACCCCCTTCGCCTGCCGCCATGGCAGCGCCCACCGTGTCACGCAGCGACGCATTTTCGTCCTCTAGCTGCTCGATTTTCTCGAGATAACTCTTCACTAACTTCTTGACCTCGTCAACTTCCTCCAACCCGACTAGCTCTGTTTGAACAGTGGCCGTCGGCCCGGCTCCCTGCTGGACGGTTTTTCGTGTGGTGGTTGTTACTTTAGTGCTACTAACACTCACCTGGGCGGAACCACCGGACGACTCTTCCGACCTCGGCGAGTCCGTCCCCTCCTTCTTAACCACCTTGTACTTGATCTGCTGGAACGGCGAAGACGTGTCGCGGATCATCTTGACGTCGTTCTGCGACAGACCAGTGTAATATCCGAGTTTTTAGGAGTGTTTGTCCGAGAACCGGGCGCAGTGTCTGCGCATGGCGTCCGCCATGATGTGGGACGGGGATGACTCGCCTCACCTATCCAGCCAGACGGGTGTTTTCGTCAGTCACGCAAGCGTTTAAATCGCTCATTAATTATTCCGCTTCTCTCCTGCGGTTCGCTCTCACCTGCGGCAAGGCTGGGAGAGGACGGACGGGTTTCCCACAGTGTAAAAACCGGGCGTGCACCTATTCATAATGCATGCTTGTTAAAATGACATAAGGTCTGTTCAGCACAGCAAACCCCATTATGCCGACTTGATTGTCGCCCACTTACCGTCGCTAGGCGATTTCACACCAAGGTAGAACAACTCTCTCAGCAGTATAAACACTGAACTTTGCAAAACACTTCATAATTACCGATTGTCTGTGATACCTGGGGAAATCTAATTATCAATTTAGCTCAGATGATTTTCATTACAGATAGGTGTGAGATGACAAGCGCTGTCCAGAGAAGCCAAACCAGTGCAGACGACTACATTCGTAATCTGTTCTCAACACAATGGAACATGCTATCAGGGGTCAGATCTTTTACAATTAGCTAGTGTCATTAGGGGGCGGGGTGGATCTTAGGCTGAAAACCTTATGTAGATCTTAATGACAACCCCTCGTGTGTGTAACTACATGTATGTTCTTTTGGAACAAAACAACAGCGTACCTCGCTACGTGGCCTCTGTGTCGGTGCTCACGTACGCACAAAGGTGTCGGATGACGCACGTGCTGACAAATAGAATACTAGGTCATAGAGAAGTAGGTTATGCAAATATCGACTCTATGAACCTTCTTTGACCTTGAAGTCAACGCAAACACAGTCGACCCCTGTTTACGAAGTGGTTAGGTCCATATTATAGTGTTCCATGCTTCGTCATGGGTCAGACAGTACTGTAGCACTTTGGAATAGTTTTCATTTTCCCGTAGGGCCACACCAATTTAATTTCTTGGTTAACGGATTCGCCGCTTCATTTTTTTCTGATTTGCAAATAAAAATAAAAATTCAGAATCAACTGCAAAATGCTCATATTTTGCCCTGAACAGTTGAAAACAGACCTTTTCATCCTAGTTGTTACAGTTATTCCATCTTTCAATGCAATGGTATCATTAAAAGTTCAAAATTCATTGTTTAAATTTTGAACCAGCCTGGTGTGTTGAGTTCATGGCTCCTATCGTCTCCTATACTCTGATGTATATAAAAGGTCTTTTTGTGTGTTTGGATGACATGCAAATGTAGTTTATTGGCATACATTGGGGGACAGTAGACAAAAAGGTTGCACGACTTAAGCCCGCTGCCCTACATTTCCAAGGTTCTTTTGCCCACAGGCAGATTCCAACTGGATCTGCTGTTTCACACACACACGTAAGAACACACAGCTAGACAGTTGAACGTCCATGGACATATATTTAGCAAATGCCAAGCTTTTAAACGCCTGCCGTCTTTTTCTCCTTGCTGCTTTGTTTGCTGAGCACGTGCATGTTCGATAAAGTCATTGATACATACAGTAGATCTTTATATAATAGACCTAAGATAACTCTTCCATTGGCAATACCTATTATACCTATTATCATGTGAATTCATCACATACTTGTTAAAATTTTTCTTGTTATGCATTTTATAGACGTCACCCTGACTGTGTGCCGTTTATATAAGCGAAGTTGCCGTTTCTTCAAGCACGACTTCATATCACTTTGGTCGACAGTTGTACATTCCTCAGGGAGTTTGTAATTATACCGCTTCATAAGCGAAAACTAGATAGATTATATATATATATACAAAACGACAGTCCTTAATTACGCAGCGTTGCTGATCGCTGAATCCGGTGCTGGCGCACCCTGCTTTGCGGCCTCTCCTTCCTTTGCTTTGGCTTTCTTGAGCCTGAGTTGCTGCTTCCACAGTGGTTCTGCCTTCGCGGACGGGGCATCGGTTGTGGTCGTTGGCTTCTTCGCTGGTGCAGCTGGTTTTGGTGCCGGCTTTTCTTCGGCCACCGGTGGCGCCGGCTTCTCTTCTGTTGCGGTTTCTGCCGGGGCTTCCGGTGCAGGTGATTCTGCTGGTGCTGGAGCTTCCGGTGCCGTCTCTGGTTCTGCTGCCGCTTCCGGTGCCGCCTCTGGTTCTGCTGCTGGGGCTTCTGGTTCTGCTGCTGGAACTTCCGGTGCCGGTTCTGCTTCCGGTGCTGGCGCTTCCGGTGCTGCGGCTTTCGGTGCTGATGCTTCCGGTGCCGCTGGTTCTGCTGCTGGTGCTTCTGGTGTTAACACTTCCGGTGCCGGAGGTTCCGGTGCTGGGGCTTCTGCTGCCGGAGCTTCCGGTTCTGGTGCTGGGGCTTCCGGTGCCGGTTCTCCTTCCGGTGCTTGCGCTTCCGGTTCTGGCACTGGCTCTGCTACCGGAGTTTCCGGTGCTGCAGCTTCCGGTGCTGCAGCTTCCGGTGCTGGTGCTTCCGGTGCTGCCACCTCCGGTGCTGGTGCTTCCGGTGCTGCCACCTCCGCTGCTGCCACTGGTTCTGCTGTTGGGACTTCCGGTACTGGCTCTGCTGCAGGAGCTTCCGGAGCTGCCACTTCCGGTGCTGGCTCTGCTGCAGGAGCTTCCGGTGCTGCCACTTCTGGTGCGGGTGCTGCTTCTGGGGCCTCTGATGCAGGTTCCGGTACCGGGGTTTCCGGTGCGGCTGGTGCTGGATCTGCCTCAGGAGTTTCCGGTGCTGGCACTGACTCTGCCGCTGTAGCCTCCGGTGCGGAAGATGCCGCTTCTGGTGCCGGAGCTTCTGGTGCCGATTCTGGTGCCGGAGGTTCCGCCGCTGCTGCCTCCGGCTCTGGTTTTGTCTCCTCTATAGCAGGTTTTGCTGCCTCTGGTTCAGCTGCTGGTGCCGGCACATCTGCAGCAGGAGCGGGCTCAGGTGCAGGTTCTGCCGGTGTAGGCTCCGGTTTGGGTTCCTTAGCAACAGGTTCTGGTGCCGTAGCAACCTGCTCAGGCTCTTCCACAGCCGGCCCAGGCTCTTCCACAGCCGGTTCCGGCTTCTCGGCGACTGGTGTGGGTTCTTCAGCAACAACTTCAGGTTCCTCATCAACTGCTTCCTCTTCCTTAGCAAAGGTTTCTGGGTCCGTAGCGACTTCTTCTGCGGGTTCCGGAACGGGTTGTTCTGCAGGAGGCTCCGGTGCTGCAACGACTTCTGGCTCTTTCTCGGTGACCTCCTCAGCGACCGGAGGTGCAGGATCCGTGACTGTGTCCGTGACTTCGGGTTGGTCGGCGGCTGGTGCTTCAGGAGTTTCCGGTTCTTCCACTTCGATTTCCGCCAGAGGACCGATGGCCTTTGACAGCTTGGTCGATGCTGCCTCCAGATTAGAGCCAAGAGCAAGAACGCTTCGTGGGAAAGATGGACACATAAGGTAAGTACTTTAAGATAACGTAACATAACGTAACGTAAGGTATTTCTATCTCCTTTTGAGATTGAATTTCAAAAAGAAATGTCACCTAGTACCTGTATCACATATCACTGCATGCATCATAACTCAAGTTGAGGAAAAGAATGTGAAGCGTTTGATATAAGTATTATGCCAAACATTGCAGTTAAGATCACGGGCACGTATTTCATTTATAACTTTTTAAAACAGGACCTACTCGTAGTAGTGCCCCTTCTTGAAGAGATGCACAGGCTTTGTGATGTAGGGGAAGTACTTGGCGGTGGTGAGGTTGGCCAGTTTGGCGTCCATGACGCTAAGGAACGCCCTGTGGCGCCTCCATGGCGACACGCGCCGGTAGGTGTATATCTGGGACATCTGAAATACATCGTGCAAACGTTAGTAAAAGTATCAGGACTGTAACCAGAAACATCACATAACCTTTTCCTAGGCCTAAGTCAATTCCCTGTATGCACTTCGGAAGAAGTTGGAAATTGATTCCCTGCACCCTGCAAGAAGAGGGATCCGATTTTGTTCTGATGCATTTTTTTATTTTCTTCGATACCTGAAACGTTAATTACATCGCTAAGTTTTGTGACGTTTTATTTTGTTCAAACAGCTTGAATAGTTGGCACAGAATATAAGATCGATTTGATGTTTACTTACTTTACCCTCTATGATTGGCAGGCCCACAGATCCGGATTTTAGTCGTTGTACAGTGACTTCGTCTGTCACTTGGTAGCGACCACTGGTGGGACGGGTGCATGTATCACTGGACAAACCAATAAAGGTGGGTAAACAGTCATGAAACCCTGCCCTGGTGAAACCAGATTAAGAATGATCGACCCACATATTTGAAAGACGTTGGTTGATTAATCATAGTTGTGAAAACGACAAGTGAATTGTGGCCCTGGTTATGGGGTCTATATTGTCCATTTTAGTACAGAACACAGCCGTTGTTCTAGGACAGTTTGGGGGAAGATCCACAGGGTTGTCTAGATATGCTGCCGTCGAAATTGACCCCAAGTAGTCGAGATAGATGAGGATACACTGTACCCAATTCTACGATCCGCATATGTCACTATGTATACGTAGTTGCGACAAACCGAAATCAGCATTCTGTGGAGTTCTTCACAATTGTATCTTTTTCTTCATTCAATTCTCGATTATTTTGCCTACAGCAAAATTAGCGATGTGAGGACTTGTTAAGTTCGGAGCCGCATGGAACGCATGCCACATAAAATGGGACCAGGTAGGGATCTTCACTTGCATTTGAAATGATTTTAAAATTCAGTTCAAATGAAGGCATTATAGTAGGTCTTGACATTCGCGAAGTCAAGGCCATTATCCTTTACATAATTGGTGAAAACTGTGGACCTACCTTAACGGAGCGCAGTGTGCTGCGTCCAGCCCAGACGGCTCTTGAGTATCTTCTACAGATCTTACACTGGTCTGGGGAAATCAGGACTGGACATGTCACTTTGTTTACCAGCAATTTATAACTCCTCACCACTTATGGAAGGATACACAGTTATCGGAGCCCTGTGAGTACATCGACTGTCAATCCTGTCTCATTGAATTTCCGGTCGCGTGCAGCGCTTGTCATTCAGAAGAAAACGTCATTTCCTTTAGACGCAGCTCTTGAGGACATCTTCGTCTATATACTGGCACTTAGCATGTACTCAGTTACATCTACAACTGGGAGGATGACTAAAGATGTCATTAAGTGTAGTGATATTCTAACACGAGAACTAATGAAACGCACGTAAACAACTATCCCGTCGGCTATGTCTGGAGCAAGATATGTAAAAAATGAGGCCACCGTCGCTAACTTGAGACTTGTGAAATGTTCTAAAAGTAGGT